TGGCAGGAGGAATGCTGCTGGAATACTGCTCTTTGTGTGCCAGATGGGACTTACAGCATCTCCACAGGGTGATTTAGCTCACCTGGGGTGACTTATCTTCTAGAAGCACTGATTTCTTTTATATATCTTTAGCAGGATAGGAGCACTGGCCAGGGCTGTTATTTTTTGCTGCCAGCCTCGCAGCCAGCAGAGCTCATCAGCCTTCTGGAAGCATCGGACATCCTCCTGCTTCTACCTGTATAGGCAAGAAGGCCAGGCCATGCACAGAGCAATCCTTTGAGTTCTCTCCCAAAGTGGATTTGAGTATTTCTGGTGCTTGATCTATTTGTTTGGTGTATTTGTTCTGTGTGACTAGCCTTGAGCCACTCTCCTCCCAGGTAGGGTGCTGGCACTCTGACCTGCGCTTGTCAAAGGCTAAAATGCTATTTGAGCACATATAAAATATGCATGAGGTCTGTGACCCAGTCTATAAACTCCTGTACAGCCTGAGGCAATGCCTTTGTGGTGAGCTCAGAGAGATTGCAGGTTCCTGCTGCAAAAATCAAATGAATGTCAAAAGAATGCTTAAAAACTTGTGCAAGAGCAACTCTCCCCCTGAGATCACCCCAACATTTCTCTTTGTGAAAGCTGAACACAGCAGGAAAAAAAAAAAAAAAAAAAAAAAAAGAACTTTTAAGCATTTATATCTTCTCCTCAAAGCTCAGCCTAATTGAGTGCTAACAAAAGAGAAAATGCCTTCTCCTCTCCGGGCGGGCGGCAGCGGCTGGAGCAGAATGACAATGCGGGGCAGCTCGGTGCAGCCCTGCCCTGCATCCCGGCTGCTCCAGCACGAAGGGTGCTGCGTCCAGAGCCAGCCCCGGCACCCAGCGGGGACTCGGCTAATGAACGTATCAGTCCCCAGTGCTTCTGCAGTGCCTTTCATCTGAGGCTCTCAAAATAGAATTAAATCCCCCAACACCCGCATAAGGGATGGGAAGTAGCTCCATTATGTTTTTCAGATGGGAGGTAGCTCCGTTCTGTTTTTCAGAGGGGAAGGCGGCAGGCGGGTAGGTTGCTCACATGGCAAGGAAGCAGCAAAGCTGGGGGTGAACCACAGGGGAGAATAATTCTCTCCACTGCGGGAGTAAATGGAGGTTATTTATTGCTTTGAAACACCAGGAGTCTGTGGTATCTCCAGGTTTGTGTCTATGGAGCTGGAGGTCCCGGTACTGGGCTCTTTGCTTTAGCTAGTAGCTGGCCAGCAGTGACCCTCCAAAGGTGGCAGGGAGGTGGGGGGGAGCTGGGGGGGCTCTGCAGCCCCAGAGCACCCCCCTTTCCCCACCCCGAGGGGGGTGATGGTGCTGGGACCCAGCTCTGCACCCCCCGGGACAGAGAGGGGAGCCTGGTCAGCTCAAAGAGCCCAGCAAATCCCCACAGCTCCCGGTGAGGGCAGAGCACAGCAAAGCAAGCATGGCAAAGGATAATTTTCGAATGATATTGATCATTGCTGATTTTGCTTTAAATGAGCTACAAAGCAGAACCCCGCGTTGTGTACTTCATGCTGCTGAGAGCCTCCTGCTCCGAAACCCAAACGGGGTGAGAGAAGCTCGAAGCACCGAGGAGGGACACATGCACAGCCCCACACTTACCCATTTACGGAGCTCCAGAATTTGCCTTGAAGTAAGTCTGGATGAATGGGATCTGTTCATAAACCCCCAGATGTTACTCCTGGCGCTCAGGCCATAGACAAGCCTATTTCCAGGAGCAATAAGGGCGAAATGGCAGCCGTAAAACTCCAGTAATCAAATGTGAAAAGAACAACCCAATTCATTAATACCCAGACAAGCTGATAAAGACATTCTTAATTATCAGATATTACCATGGAGTTAATTTTTACCTGAGTTGTTTAAGCCTGGCCATCCTCCTTCCTTTTCCTTAGACATTTTGCCATAGGGCAGCATTGAACATTTGTAATTAGATTCCTTCACTGGAGTTAATTACGAAGCGACAATAAAGCCTGAGCAGTTTCTATTTTCATAAGTATTATTTTGAACTTAAAAAAAATCTTTTGTTTTGGCATCAATATCTGTAATTTTAAGTTTAACATGAACCCTGGGGTATACTCTTGATACAAATAGATACAGACACGTTCATGTTGTGTTATGCTGTACATCTATTTTATATTGTGTTGTAAAACTTCCACATTATTTTATATACACTTGCCTGCACAAACATATCTATACACTGGAGCAGATACAAGATTTCTCTTCTGGAAGAGCGCTAAATTAATTAGCTATTTTTCATCCCGTTGATGTCAGACCAGCAGCCCCCACTAGCATCGATACTTTGCAGGTTCCAGATTGATCCGGCACCCGGGGGGAAGTGCCACCACAGCAGGCGTGGTGAGGGGTCCTGAGCGTCCCGTGGAACAATTCCTCATTAGGGAGGAGGGGATTTAACGTGGTTATTATTAGTGATGTGCTCCATTTTGAGCAATGAAGTGTCCACTCAACACTAAGCTAAATCTCCATTACAAACGAGTTAGACACTTAAATATAACAAGCTCATGCATGCTTGTTGGAATAAAAAGAGATTTTTGTCGCTATTATTGCCAGTTTAAGATAACTGTCTGATTACATACAAGTATATGTCACCCTCTAGCTAAGCATGCACGGAAGAGAAAAGATGCTGGAATTTAAACAGGTCAAAATTAATGCCACGACTGTAGTTGATAATTGAAAGTGTCACCTGCATTAGCTCACCCTGATAACCAGGCTTGAAAAGCCAGCACCGGGATGTCCAAAATACTTTCTACTATTTACAGCACGATGGTCATTAAGCAACAGGGCAATCCCGTGTATTCAGAAGGTGACATAAAAGCTGGCCTGGGGGATGCAGAGAGTGAGCACAGACAAACCTGCAGTGGGGGGATGGAGGGTAAACTCAATGCTGTTTTCCTGCTTTTTCAGAGAGAAAAACTGCCCCAGGCAGTCGGCAGAGCTGCGGTACCCCCGCTGTAACAGCAGCCGCTGGAGGGGTGTTTGCTGGGATCCACAACCTTCCTCAGATAAGGTCCAGACCCACTGGGTTAGTGATGACTTCGATGCGTGCTTGTGGCTCTTCATTCTTCTGCATTGGGCCGGGGAAATGATAGAGGGATCTAAGCCATCTGCATTTTATATAACCTTTATTAAGCACCACTTGACCTTGTCAGTGCTGATAAAGCCATATGAAGTGCACGCCAGATAAAATGTAATTTTTAGTTGAGTATACTTACTATATTAAATACATTAACAAGGTGCAGATGAATACAAATGACCCCCCGGTCAATGCTGTCGATTCACGTTGAAATTTCTTTCACCTTTGCTGAGCTGAAGGAGTCGATAACCTCTCAAAGGTCTCACATGGGGTGGAAATGCTCCTCGCCAGCAGCCGCCGTGCCGCCTGCCTCCAGCGTCTCTACTACAACACGGTGGCCACGAGCAAGTCAGCAGAGAGATATGCAGCTCCAGAGGTCCCCTTGGAAATAGCACACTCCTCTCCTCCAGCCCTTTGGAAAGCTCAGGGAACCTCAGTTCAGTTCATATTTTATTCTTGGTATAAATGGAGACTAACCCAAGGCACAAGTGAAACCCGATCATCTCCTCTTTTATCCCCTAACTTCACAAATCGTGTGAAAATTCACTCAATATTGAGTTGACACACCCCGGTTCAGCACGGGAAGGGTTACCAGACCACCCAGGGAGCCACTGGGATCGATCTGCAGAGGTTAAAATCTACTGGTTTAAAGTGGGAGATGGCAGGATGGGGCCTGACTGCCTTCCTAAGGTTCATGTCAAGCTCTGCGCTCAATTTGAGGAAAATAAGATGAAATGTCCTGCCTGAGGAGCAGACTGCCACACTGCCACGATGTATTTGCATTAGCTTCAGACAGGAGAAGCTTCCCATCACCCTGTTAGCACTGCACTAAACACGGGGCCTCCGTGTCAAATGTCTGTATAAAAACTACATCTTGGGGCAGCTCTCAACTCCCTGCTGTGATCCATAGTGTGCCGTGCCTTCCCCTTCTGGGTTAGATTTATCCTTTTTAGTACCTAATTTAGAAAGAAAAAAAACTAAGAACCTTCAGAAAAAACAGTAAGACCTCTTGTTCCAGATCCCCATGTTTCTTTTTTAATGCTTCCTTAAGGGTCTCCATTTTTCTGTCACTTATCATCATCCAGAGTAATTTTAGGCTGTTAGAGAAAGTTCATTGCTGTAATTGCAACCATATTGGTCATTAAAGTTGACAGACAGCTGCTGAAGAAGTCACTTGCTGATTCCTACTACCCAGCAGATGCCTCTCAGCGTTTGCAAAAATGTTAGCTTGAATTTATGAAATGGTAGAAAATGCATTTTACCTTAAGGACTGATAATTTCAAGGAGGGGGAAACATGAAGAACTCATCCAGGCCTTTTATTTGTAAACAGGGTTTGCCTGCTCCTTCCCCAAGTAGAGTGGAAGTGCCCGGCATTTCCCGCAGCCCGCAAGGCTGCCTGCAAGGATCGGGGCTCCGCGGAGACATCTCAGCCCTCCGACCCCTTTTTCTGGGATGATGAACCAGCACATCCCACGGGACATTTCTGAGCTTGAGGCTAGTGAGCAACGATGCTAAACCCCCGCGCTGATGGCTCGTGAGGAGCAGAGAGGCCAGCAAGGACGGCAACAGCCTCGTGGCCGTGAAGCAGCAGTGCTCAGTCCCTCGGAGCCTCCCTGCACCCACCGCATTTGGCTTTTTATTTTTTACTGGAAAAATCTACCGTGCTGCAAAGGTAGAAGTTGCTTTTCAAAGGCAACTTTTCAGGGGCAATCCTGGAGCCCCGTCCAGCCCAGCTGCACCCCCAGCTTTGCTAGACAGGGGTTACGTCCCGATTTTCACTTACCTGTTTATTGTTGGTGTGATTCACTAAGTAAATATTTCTCACCAATCTACAATAAATGCCATGCATCACGTGTTAGAAAATAAGGACCCACTCAGGAGGGCTTTTTTAACCAGTAAACTTTATTTATATATAACAACAGTACAAAGTGAGTCCTTGGCTTGCAAAATAGGAGTGTTTCATATTTACAATAGGTACACAATAATATATTAGAATAATAACAAAACCCCCTTTTTCCTTGGAACATTTTTAAATACTTAGACTTTCTTACATTTTTTTCCACAACACTTGTAAAAACAACAAAAAACAGACAATCATCTTAAAAAAAATATAATACAGAACTCCAGTGTGTCAAGTATAACGGGGAGGGGAGGAGCCAGAGAACAATACGGTGGAATGGGTACGGATGCAAATCAATTCATTATTCCTGCCAAGACACAAGTCCCCTAAAACTGGCATGTGTTTATTTTAAGGAGGGGGGCAGAAGAAATCAGAATCTGTTCCATGGCTGATACCTCTAATTCCTGTGACGTTTTGGGTGACTCCAGAAGTTCTAGTACCTGTACATTCCCTTCCCCTTGCTGCTTCCCACCGCTTCTCGTAACGGCCCCCAAGGTGCCATTAACACAGAAACACTCATCAATGAGAAGGACATTTTACTGCAGTATCTTCTGAAGCTATGAAAGAACGTGTCAAAATCAGCTCATCAGCTCATTTGCTTTCCGACGGCTCCTCTTTCTGCTGCCCAGTCCATGAGATGGAAACATCTGATGGAGAAGCTGTTGCATAAACTTCCAAGCTTATTCGAAACAGAGGTAATAAAAATCTCAAAGGAAAGGCCATACAGGAGATCTCGTACTTAATTTGGCAGCCTCAGGAGGCCCAGAGAGGTCGGGATATTGTCCGTGCAACTGGATGGACCCTGCAGGTCTTCTGAGCATGTTCTTACGCGCTGCAGGAACGTCTCTTTTTTCAGTATTATATTCCACTTTTACAAAGAAAGGAGAGGAATGGGTAACACGGGGGCAAACAGGGATCTGAAAGAACAAGCACACAGACACCGCCGTGCTCACAGCACGGCCAAAACACCTCCAGCTGCGTCTGAGCTGCTCCCGGTGCAACCGCAGCAGCGGCGCGGGGGCGAGGAGCTGCTCTCCCAGCGAGGGAGCAGTCGGTCTCTGCCATCCCCTGCTCCCACCGCAGCCCCCAGCACAGCACCCCGGGCTGCCGGGCGCGTACCCCACACCCGGAGTTCTCCCCGGTACCCCCCGCAGCTGGGGCGCCGGCCCCTGCGCCGTGCCTTGCCCAGAACAGGACCACCCCCCCTTCAAGCTGGGGGTTTTTCACGGCGAGCAGAGGCTTTGCACAAAGCCTTCCAGGCGGCGAAAATCGGCTCGAAGACTCCCGTCTTCTTCCCTTTCAAAACTGACCTGACTGGCCTACGTCTAAATTGCACGTTCAGGGTTGCTCGGCTCAGCCGATCCTGAGCGGCACCTTCTTCGCTGTGCGCACCGGCACCTTTTACTCTGGTTATTTCCCCACTAACGTCTAATTAAAAAAAAAAAAAAAAATACACCCTGTCCCCGGAGGTGTTGGGTGGCCTCGTAGCTGTCACCAGTGTTTTGCCCCCAGCCTCCAACCCGCTGGTCTCAGTGGCCTCGGGCGACGGCTGGGGCGATGCGGGAGCTTTCACTGAAGACACGTTCACTAGACAGACGGGACTGCTCACCGAGCTCTACCTAGTACGCAACTATATACAACGTCGCAGCTCCCTGTGTTATTGGCTTGCGGTTTATGGTACAAACGCAACTCTGAAATAGGATGGCTGAAGCTGTGTGGCATTTTAATGCATCTTTGATGTCAGTTATTTATCCTTCTCTGAATATTTTTTCTGCTCTCCAGGGTAGAGTCACTCGCGAGCTTTCCCTGATGTCCCAGCTTATTCGAGTCAGTCTATTTTAGGTTCATTTAGTTTGGCGAGCTGGGTCCCCTGGCAGGTGAGCTCTGACAGCACTGCGAACGGGATGGAGAAGAGCCAGCGACAGGCGAGAAGGTGGCTGGGCTGCTGCCAGGGAACAGGCTCCAGGCACAGGCTTGGACAGGAGCATCGCGGGGACCGGGGTGGGCCCTGCTCTGCCCTGTGCCAACCCGCTGCCCCGGGGACAGGGCGAGGGCAGCGGGCAGCTCGGCGCTCCTCATCCTCGCTGGCTGCTTGGGACTTCTGGAAATGCCCTTGTTTGTAGGTCGTGCCCACTGGAAGGAGGGAAGCGTCCCGACCCTTTCCACGCAGACTTAAACGACTGGCACCGAGGCGCTCAGAGTCAGCAGCGTGCAGGAACGCGACCCCAGAGCTTTAAGCCCTCTTGCTTTCGTCCTCCACGTTCCCGCCCAAATCGCTTCCGACATTAGGACATTTTTGGTGAAGTCCAGTTGAAGGTAGGAGAGAGAACTTACGTGGGGACGGGCTGTGAGGGTTTTAAGACAGTGTGTTGAAGGCACTGCTGTGATGAAGGTCTCTGTTGCCACCGCGTCGAGCGGCTGCACTCGCCATCCCCACTGTGTCACAGCACCGGGACCCTGCGGGAAGGCACCGCCGCCCGGCACGGCCACCCCCAGCCTCCTTCGGGGACACACGCCTCCCGGGATGCTGCCCGCCAGCAGCGAGGCCGTGGCAGAGGTTTTGCTTCTCCGCGCTGGGTCTTCACGCAGCTGCGGACTGGTCCGTGCTGGATCCCCCAGGGGCTCCAGCACTTTGGCCGTGCTGGTTTCTCCTGCCTCCCTTTAAACATAAACGTGTCCTTTACGGCAAAGAGGGGACCCCTTGACGTCCACGTCCTCTGTACTTTGGTGGGCTGCAAGCGTTGTGGTGCTCTACAGCGGGGATCACGCGGAGACAAGCTTGCCTGTAAGTTACACTCTTGTATACGGGTTTTTAATAAAGGCTTTCAAGGTGGAGAAGCGTTTGATTAGCACCTTGCTCCTCCTTGGAGTGGGTGCTTTGATAGCTCACGAGCAGAAGATTAAATGGAATTATTTAAGCAGTGACACCGGGCAGAGAGATTCCAGAAGATGACGTCTCCCACTTTGATGTCAAAATACCTGAAACAAAGTGAACTGGAGAATCCAAACACCAACTGGCCTTGTAGGAGGAAGGGGGCAATGAGAGGGATGTGAAATCATTTCATCTAAGGCAAAGTCACTGCCCCCTCCTGACCAAACTTTGAGTCCAGTTTGTTGCAAGTGCGAAGAAAATGCCATTTTGAGATCTGAGGCTTCCTCTTCCCGAAGGACTAACTGAAAAGTTGGATGCAAACAGGGAAATAGATTACAAGCACTTTGCTCCAAGGGGATACGTTGCTTCATTCCATATAATTGCCTGTAAAGATCCATAATTGATGTCGACCACCACGAGTAGACACATTTATTTATAGGCCACCCCTTCCAGTCAGCACGGTGCTGTTCCCTATGCCAGCCTCCTAATGCCTTTTCAACAGGGGAAGAAGAGATGTTTCGGCTGCTTCTCTCGGAAATCAGTCAAAAGTGTAATAGCTTACTGGTTTGCAAAGTGCTCCTGCTGCTTTCCCTTTCCTCCTCTGCTCAACGTGCTTCCACAGTACAGAAAATACACCCAGTCGTCCACTTCTCTCCTTAGTGCTTTGGTGTATTCGTGGAAGACAGACCCTGTGTTGAGCCAGCTTGGACACGTTGGATTCTTTTAATCCTTGCTTACAAACCAATCCCTCTGGGCTCTGCAATGATTTTTCTTTTTCCCCCTTATCTGTACCTTCCGTGGGGGAACAGGCAGCCAAAACAGATGTGGAAAAGAGCCTGGTCACTGGCATCGCTGCTGAGTCCCTGCAGCCCCCACCCTCAGCACTGCCCAGCAAACCCAGGGAGGGCTGGGGACCCCCACCGCTGCTGGGAAAATACTGGGCAAGGGGGAGTGCCAACACGATTGCTTATGGGGTGCTCCTGGCCAGGTGGTAGGGAGCAGGAGGGGGAAAGTGGGCGTAAAAGCAGCTACGCAAAAAGCCTCTCAAATAGGTGTGAAGAAAAGAGGACCAGGAGGGCCTGGCTCGGGCTGAAGGGCAAGCACACATTCACCAGCACCCGGGTGATGAAAAGCCAGGTCCCTGCTTTGGGCAGTGCTCTTATTTCGTGAATCCTGCAGAGATAACTATTCAGACTAATATTTAGAAGTGTTCGGAAACCACTCGGAAACCATTTGGAGCGCTTTCTTTGGGTTTCAGAGTACCATAAGAATTTGGTGAACGATTGGAATATGAATACCCAAAACAACGACCACAACTAGAATACAGACCTGGAAATCACTCACATAAGCTGCATGCCGGGTCACTGTGAACAGCAGTGACACAAACCAGTAAAAAATGAGGCCCTGGAGGATTTCAAAACCTAACACTCTGCAATCCCCTGTAACACCAGCAGCAAAGAGCAGGCCAGGCTGGCGGCTGCTGCAGTGACAGCTCATTCGCCGCGTCCATGCCAGGCTTGAATAGGACAACCTGGACACTTGTACATTTTCTGTCTTTGAAATCAGATTCACTGTGCAGGAGGAGGATCCCTAGGAAGGGAACTCTCCCAATAACGCGGCAGTACGAATCCTGCTCTGCTTCTCAGTCTCTCTGTTTCTGCCAGCTCTCTCTGTGTCTCGGTAAATCCAAGCCCTCCAGTTACACAGCTCAGGCTGTTGTAAATGTCAAGAACTTATTGCACAAGGTTGATCATTATCATTAGTATTTTCTTCCCGAGTATTAACAAGGCCCAGAGAAACTCACAGAAGTGGATTACCAAAAGAAAGTGGATTGGCATGGCTTCTACTGAACTGTAATTAAAACAACAAGTTTCCTGAGTATTTCTCCACATGCTTCTCCCCTGTTGCTGGCTCCCCTAAGGACTTCATCTCGAGACCAAAAGCCGGCAGCTCTCCCGGTGCACGGGGAGCCCATGGGGACCCTCCTGGGCTCCTCTGGGCAGGAATGGTGGAGGAGGGGGGACGGATATGAAAATGGATTTTCCTTCAACACACACTGGCTGCAAACTAAGGTCCCAGTCCGGCACAGCACTGCCCGGGCAGGGCTGAGCAGATGCCGGGAGCTATTTTGCTGCCAAGCCCATGCAGTCAATACTTGTATTTCCATTAGACCTGACCACCCTGTCCTCCCCACTGCAGCCTGCACAAATATTAATATTTATTACAGAGAGAAATATTTACAGCATTCCTTCCCCTCCTGGCACTCTACAAAGGGACACACATAAGCTTTGGTGTCTTTGAAAGAAATAACACTCACAAACATTTGCCTGTCACCGGCCACAAGAACACATGCCGTCGGGGCCAGCGAGGAACTGAATATCACAACGAGACGCCGAGACAGAGACAAGACAGCAGCGCTAGCTGGCCTGTGGAGTGCTGGTTAAGGTTTTCCCTTGCCTAGAGCAAAGATTTCTTTCCCCTCCCCAGTGGAAATATAAGTCCTGCGCCTGACCCCGGGCAACACCGCGAACGCTGGCAGAGAACCTCAAAGGGAGCCTGTGCCGATCGACTCTGCAAGTCAAACAGAAAAGCAATAAATACCTCCTCCCGCTACGCCGAGTCTTTTCAAGTATCACTCACTGTAAACATCGGGGGTTTGTTGGCTTTTACTGCAAGAAACCAGCGGCGGCTGCCAGAAACCGCCACCCAAACGCAAGCGAGGAGGCTTCGCCCCGGCCCTGCCCGGCGGGGAGAGGGCAGCCGGCCCGCAGCAACCGGCACCGCGCCGAGAGCCGCCGGGCACGGCCACCGGCACTGCTGGGGGGCTGCCGGCCACCGCGCGGGAAAAGGGGAAGGGGAAAGCCTTTCCAATCAGATCCTTCGTCGTTCGACATTTAAATGGGATTTAAAAAATATATATATATATTGACACTATATAAATACATAGATAAAGCTGGATTTCAAGACAGGTTGGATGATCTGATGGTTTTGCAATTCAGGTAAAGTTCCTTCTAGTGCCTATAAGTTACTCAGCCACTGGACTATTTTCTGGCTAAACTGCTATTTTACTCGTGTAAAAAGGTGTGGTGCAAACTTGTGCTCATATTTTTTTGTAAGATCCCAAAAAGAAGAACATTTCGGTTTTGCAGACTTTCCAATTGGCATAAGAGTCCGTTCGCAAAATGCCTGAGCCACGTCCTCGGGAGTCTCTTGAGGACAGGATTCAGAGCTGGACCTTGTTGCCAGGATTATCTCTGTGGCCTCTGTGGTTTTTGCTCTATTTCTTCTTTTTTTTTTTTTTTTCCCTTTTTCTTTTTTTTTTTTTTTTTTTTAAAAAAAACCTTTAAATAAAGTTTTATTTTCTAATATACATCAAACAATTTTCATGCAAAGAAGCAGTCATGGAGACATCCAGACTTTCCAGGTTCCTTCTTTCCATGTATACTCAAAGAAGTGATCCATCTTGATTTGACTTTTATTGAGATGCTTTTGCCTTTTTCTCTTCCTCCTTTCAAAGCGGATCCCATGTGATTTTGAACAGTCAGTCCTTGGGCCAGTCTCTGCTCCCTCCAGAAAAGCCTTGGTATTTATGAGTCCAGCGCCTTTCTTGCTTGTTCTCCCTCTTAATTCCCGAGAGTCTGGGCAATCCTCTGCCCTTTGCCGTCTGCGAGCACCGCAACCTTTCTTCAGCTCTCAATAGACATGGCACCAATAAGTTGCTCTACTTTGTATGCCAGACGCTGCCTACGTGCCTGTTCATCCTGCTCCAAAGCCCCGATGAGCTGGTACAGAAAAAATAAAAAGGGAGAAGAAAAAAAAAAAAAAAAAAAAAAAGAAAAGAAAGAAGTCAGTGTGCGAGAGGGGGGTGGGAGAGGTGGGTGGGCAGCAAGATGTGAGCAACTTGAAATGTGGATGTGTGAAATTTAAATAACGAACAGCAAAGCAACGCGACGAGCGCTTCGCCACGCCACAGCCGTGCACGGTGGTTTGTTGGCCCGCTCGGTGCACGTCACCCACACAACACAGCCGTTCCCACTCTTACACCTTGGACTCCACATTTCCTGTCTCGTTTAGCACGAGAGTTATGAGATGTTAAAACCCTAATCGGAAAATAGCTGTGGCATTGTATCACAAATGCATGCAGGCAATTAAATGACAAAACCCTTCCTTTTAACGGACGTAATTGCAAAATAGGTTCTGCTTACACTGAAATGAAGGGGTGGAACAGATGGCGAGAACTTGGTTTCAAGTGATGCATTCATTAAAGCAGCTCACGCTGCCAGGGATTCTTTGCAAACAGGAGCCTGCGTCACTGCTACATGGGATTTGTACCACGCCGTTCCCAAAAGGCAGGGATGTTTCTGGGGAGCTCCACTGGGTCATGACGGTTTCCCACTGCATTTAGGAGTGGGCTGCACTGGGCATGTGCCAAGGCTGAAGAATCCAGTTGCTCCCACAACATTTTAGCCCTCAATCCTCCTGGGAAGGGTGCTACAGGCACGGCCAGGACCTGAACCTCTTTGTGCACGATCAGAAGAGCAGCGGTGCGAGCTCCGGCCGTGCTGCGTGGCGGCCAAGGCTGGAGGAAGGAGCCCTGGGTGGCAGCGAGGGGGGGGGGATCGCTGCTCGACCCACTCCCACGCCGAAGCACGGCTCCTCTCCCATGCCGCGCGTGCCGCGGGGCGGCATCGCCTCCGCGCCCGCCCCGGGGGACACCCACCTCCTCGCTGTACTTGCTGACGTAGGAGTAGATCTCGTTGAGCGCGCTCAGCATGTTGAACTCGGCGGAGTGCAGGCGCGACTGCTCGGCGAGGTAGGCGTTCATGTCCTGGTCGCTGATGGCGGGGAGCTTGGCGATGTCGGCGTAATACCTGCGGGAAGGAGAAGCCAAGGGAGGCCGTCAGAAACACGCAGGCTCAAAACGCCCCTCTTCCGAGGATTTAAACTAAGCCCCGCAGGGAAAGCGACATCATTTTGCTTTACGCTTGTATCTAGAAAAAAAAAGGGCCTGGCTTGCAGCAAGCTGGAAATAAGAGCAGCGACGCTCGGCAGGGCTGAGCTGTGCCACCAGCTCGCTGCCAGAGCCACCCCGCCGCATCGCTGGCCACCGAGGGCAAAGCTGGAGCGCCCAGGCCAGCCCTGCACCCACCCTGCGGCCGCCCGCGCGCCGCCGCCCACCTCTCCACCCAGCTCTTGTAGCTGGGGATGTCCTTGGCGTACAGCAGCTTGTTGGAGGGGGAATCCTTGCCCAGGCGGTGCTCCGAGGTGGAGCAGGAATCCATGAAGGTCTGAGCCACGACAGAGAGGCAGGCGTCCGTGATGCTGCCTTTGTGGATATCGAACACGAACTGGGGGTTTTTGATCACGTTCACCCAGAAGCGGAGGGGGAGGCTGTGGAGAAATCAAGAAGCAAAATTAAGCGTTAAGACAAAGGCTAGGAAAGGGCACTTGCTGCGGTTTGTGTTCCCAAGCAGTGATCTGAGCAGGAGCTGGGCCAGGTCCATCAAACAGCAGTTAGCCCAGTGCTGCCCGGACTGCTCGTGATGGGTCTGGTACCCCTGGGCTGGACACTCTGGATCCCGGGAGCCGCTCTGGGGTCTGCTCCTGCCCAGGAAGATGGGGGAGGCGAGGGCCGGGCGGGCAGCGGGTGCCGAGGGCGGGGTGGCTGGGCCAGGGCCGAGCTGAGCGCCGGGCAGCAGTACTGGGGAGCAGCCCTGCCCACAGCCCCTTACACCCAGTTTGTTGGAGCCGGGGCTCCCGCGCTCACCGGCCACTGCCCGGCCAGCGTCTGCGCGCGGTGCAGCAGGCAGCACAGCCTTTGTCCCCAAATCCCGAGGCCTTTGCAATCAAAGGGGAATTATTATTCCTTTTTTCTTTGGCTGTAGAGCAGGATCAAAAAAAACAGCTGCTGCTTTCTATTACCTTTCAAGTCTCAGCTCTCTCTATCTATCCGGCTAGCTGCACTGAAGGCTTCAGCCTTAACTCTTGCCGCGCTGCAGGCCAGCAGCTCAGCGCGTCCCCGGCAGCACCAGCTCCCTTGACCCCCCGCTTCCCTGGCTCTCTCTTCCAAGCCCTGCTTTGCTTTGACCTGCTCCAGTGGCATAAGCCTTCTCCCATCTGCACCCCAAAATTCCCTTTCTGGGGATGCCACAGCCATCCAAAGGGCTCAGCAGAGCTGTTAGTTCCGAGACCAAATTTTTGCCCCTCTCCCAAGCGCCCCGTGCCCCGGGGCGGAAGGAAGGATCGGGGCTCGTGTGGTCTGATGGCTCTGGCAGAGCAAACTCTGCCAGTCGGTGCTTTCTTTTTTATTGCTTTAAGAAGTCTCATCTTTATTTGTGATTCTAGAGTGTTTATCCTAATAACTCCTTCTTCGAAGGTTTTAAATAAATTGTTTTTAGCTTCCCACAGCCTTAGGAGGGAACTCAACTTTTGCAGCCATGATGATTAGAGGCTTTTTAAACCACAAGGGACTTGAGGGGAAAATACAAAAGTCTTCAGGGAGGAACCATTTGTTCTGCTTTTTTTTTCTTCTTCCTGGCAGAGGTAAATTCCTAACCCATGGAGCTTTTAATCCTAAAAGAACAGCAGAAGCAGAGACGTGAGAGCTCCTATTGTTGGGAGACTGCTGAACCAGGCTGCAGTCCATGCTGGCTGTGTGGGGCTGGCTCCTTCCCCCCCAGCTCCTGCTGCCCGAAGCAAAGGGGAACCTGCAGCCCCTTGCTGAGCTCTCCCCTGCCAGCCCAGGCCAGCACCCATCCTGCAGCACGGTGGTGCGGGCAGGGTGATGCAGGCAGGGTGATGTGGGCAGGGTGATGCAGGCAGGGAGGTGGTGCGGGCAGGGTGATGCAGGCAGGGTGATGTGGGCAGGGTGATGCAGGCAGGGTGGTGGTCCAGGCAGGGTGATGCAGGCAGGGTGGTGGTCCAGGCAGGGTGATGCAGGCAGGAGGGTGATGCAGGCAGGGTGATGCAGGCAGGGAGGTGGTGTGGGCAGGGTGATGCAGGCAGGGTGATGTGGGCAGGGTGATGCAGGCAGGGAGGTGGTGCAGGCAGAGTGGTGGTCCAGGCAGGGTGATGCAGGCAGGGAGGTGGTGCAGGCAGGGTGATGCAGGCAGGGAGGTGGTGCCCGCAGGGTGATGCAGGCAGGGAGGTGGTGCAGGCAGGGAGGTGGTGCAGGCAGGGTGGTGGTGCAGGCAGGGTGATGCAGGCAGGGAGGTGGTCCAGGCAGGGTGGTGGTGCAGGCAGGGAGCCCTGCATCCCACTGCCAGACCAGCTCTGCAAAGCCAGCGATTCCCAAAGCCCAGGTGTGTGGATCTACAGCCCAGCTCCCACCCGGGCAGAGGATTCGGGGACCGCTGGGCTCGCCATTTAACACCACACCAGGGCTTCAGCTCATGTGTGAGCGGCGTCAGCACCAGCCAGGATCAAACCCCGCTGCCACACCTGCCCGGGGCACTGGGGCAGCAGCTGTGCTGGTTGTAAAGCACTAGCACGGCTTTGTGGCACATCTCACAGTCCTTGCCTGTTCCCAGCCTTCCCAAAGCTCTTCCCCATCTCCGTTCTTCCCCGGGACACAGATAAATTCTCAATACTCAGCTCTGCCTGCCCTTCCGCCCTCCTCCTCCACTCTTACCAGTTGCTCTTCCACGTGTGCCTCACGTCTGTGTCGTGGATGCCGTGCTTATCTGCCTGCTCGTCCAAGAAATCGAACATATACTTGATGGCCAGCGGGAGGGCGCTGCCGCGGTGCACGGTGCTGAACAGCGTCTCGAACAAGTCGTCCACAAATTTCTGCAGCGTTCCCTGATGGGAGCAGCGGCCGAGAAGGTGAAAAGGGGGGGGGGACGGGCGCATGCTTGGCTGGGCGGTGGTGGTGGGGGTGGCAAATGGTGTTACTGGAGCCCCGCAAAATGCTGCCCTGGACCCCACAGGAATAACTAAGGTCAAGGTCTTTACAAACCTTGACCACGCTGTGGGAGGCCCCTGGGAAATGCCCCAGCCTGCAGCTACTCATGGCTGCACTTACTCTTTATTTCTAACCTGAAACAGGTTTTTTTTTGCTCTTAAAAGCAAATCTGCGTTATCTACAGTGATGAACACACAGTGAAAGGCAGGAAAACTCTTGCCAAGGAAACCGGTTAAATATTTACAGGCGCTGCTGCGTCTCCCCAACTCTTTGTGTTTTAATACCATGCAGAAGAATGAAATATTGCAGCAATCACCTTGCAGTGTGAGGAAATCTGGGCTGTGTTTCCACTGCTGCTCCAGAAGCCACCCAACCCCTGGGGCCCAGGAAAGCCTGACTGGGACAGTCCCCCCGGGTGCTGGGCATCATTAGGGACCGCACAGGACCCCTGGCAAGCACATCTAGCGGGACCCCGCCGTGCATTTCCCAAGCGAATTTAGCGCATGGCAGTTACCTTTGTAGCTAATAGCCTGGTCAGGTAGATCTCAGACACCATCTTACTGCCCCGGTCTCCTTCCTTCTGGTCTCCGTGATCGTGGTTTTTGACCAAGTGCCAGACCTTGACCCCGCTCTCCAGGTCGGGGGTGATCATGGGGGCCCGGGAGCGCAGGCTGTCGGGGCTGCCGGTGTAGCGGAAGGTGGAGTCTGAACGACGGGAAGAGAAGTCGGTCACGCTCAAAGCAAACCCCTTTTTCATTTCCCTGTCTCTTCTCAGTGACGCCACCATGCTCGCTAATGCCAAAATCATCTGCACGGGGTTTTTTATGAGGTAGTGAAATGTAATACCACCCAGGCACCAAGAAAATTTGGCGTTCGCCAAAGATACGTGTTGGCCTTCACTGAACAGGGTCCCTCAGACTTGAACCTGTCTGTTTTCACACTCACACATGGGAATTTTCTGCTCCCTTCCCATCTTTTACTTACACGAACTCAGTAATACAGGTCCATACAAGATTCCTCCACGAGTTACGGCTCACGCACATTAACCCTGGGCACCAACTCCTGCAGCACTGGCGTCCTGATACCCATATTTTGTAAATAATAGCAAGTTGCCTGGCACAACCAGCGCAGAGGGCAGAAGAAACTGCTGTTCTTGTTCCTGAGGCTTTCATTAGAGCAACAAGGGCACAAGCTGAGCACCGACTGCAGAGCCCCAGGGCAGTCCTGCATCCCGGCCTCCCTGCTGCCCCTGCCTCTGCCCTCCTCCCGGCAGGGAAAGGGGAGCTCCAAGGGGAGCAGACAAAGTTTTTTCCCTTAATTGCTCACAAACCATGGAGGGATGTGAGATCTGTTTAACTTCCCAAAGAATGTGCCTCCCTGGATCCCATCCATGGGGTCTTCAAGCCGAGACACGGGGCTGAGTAGCACAACTGTGACTCGTTTTTTTTTTTCTTCTTGCTGAATTTCTTTGTTCTCCCAGAACCTCGTGCATTTTCTCAAGTTTAGCCTCCAGTTCACAGCTCACCCTCCTCATCGAGAGCGAGGGGATCAATCATAAATCAGCCAAGGGAAATACGCAAGTCATTACCAAACTAGCCAGACTTTCATCCCTGATTAAGGCTTAGATAAATGAGTACTCCAACTGATATAATTAAGGAGACAGACAGGGGGACAGCTAGGGAAGCATCTAGTAATTCTATTTTTAAACATAGCTCTGTACTGATATATAATGGGGAAAGTAAATAAGTATCTCATTTAAATTCTGTCTGCACAATTATAAGTATTAATCTTAACATGAGTAATGATGATAGTTCATATTGGTAGTTTGCAAAAGCTTTTCCATCTGACATAGATCAATGAGCACTGAGGACACAGGTTGTGAGACCCAGCCTTGGTTTTTCCATCCCCTGAAGTGTGGGAAGTGCTGGGCACTCGGGTGGACTACACCTCGCAGGGAGAAACCCCTTTTCTCCTGGCTCTTGTCTAAAGACTATCCTATGGATGGCTCCTCAGAACCGTTGCTTGAGAAAAAAAAAAAAAACCCCAACACTATTTTGGGAGATATAAACAAGAGAAAGAGATGGGTTTGTCAGGAGACCTCTAGTTTGTAAAACACTGTAAAATGCAAGATAATGAAGGACCAGTGCATTAGAGATTTTGCCACTGCTGCCTTTTATGGAAGTATATTATTACTATTGTTGTGGATTTAGTGCTATAAACGCACACCTGGCACCTCGCACACTCATTTACACAGGCTGCAGCATCTTCAGGGACCCTCTGTAAAGTGCCGAGCCCTGCTATTATGCAAATAACAAATTCCCAGGTGCACACACCCGAGCACGCCGAGTTAAGATTGCCATTACCCATTTTTGACCCATTATCTAAGAATTCAGGATCCTCCACTTGGAGAAGAACTAGATGAAGGAGTCAGGCTTTTTTCTCATGCCGCCCTGCTTACACGCAAGGGACACAAAGCTGCTTTCCTGCAGCAGGAGCCCCACGGGTGCTCTGCAGCATCCAGCCCCTCTGAGCCAAAAGCCTTTCCCTGGCCTTTTCCAAGACCCACATTTCCAAAGGCTGCTCATTTGGCATTTCCTTTCCCTCCTCTCAGCTTCTCCTGTCTTTTTGCTGTTCACAGGTGGAAAAGCCTTTGCAGAAAAACAGTAGCCAAGGACGTTTTTCCGTTTGACACATGAATGTACTTTCATTTTGGCTGACGTGGTGTGCTTCTTTGGGGGAAGTGTCTGCTTTCTCCCTATCTAACTCCCTTAAGGTGTTGCCCTCCTGCAACAAAGGCAGCTTCGACACCAGCCCCATCAGCTAATTCTCATTTAGAGCTGCGAGCTGCACTGCGTGCTGGTGTCCAGGCTGGCTGTAAATGTGCTGGGCAGCAGGAGCCGTGCCGGGTCGCTACCTGTGAGCCACTGTCCCACCACTTCACTCTGCTCCTTACCGTATCTGCTAATAGACGTCCGGGATATACTGGCAGAGGCAGGAATGTTGTAGGAGGAGGTCTGTTTGGGAACGAGAGCCACGACCGAGCGGTCTGATACCTGGGGAGGCAAAGGAAGAGAAGAAAGGATCAGCGGGGTCCACTGTTGGCACTGAGGTGACCGGCTGCTCATCCGGCAAAGGCAGGTAACGCGGGGCTCCCGAGGGTGCCGGGACCAATCCTGCCCGCCAGCCCCACGGAGACGCGCTCCCAGTCTGGCTGAGCGCTGTGCTGGGTCGGCAGCAGCCCTACAGCAAGGGACCGAAGGAAAGGAAGGATAAATCAAAAGACATATTGAAGATGGTTTTGGTTGTTCTGATTTAAGATTACGTTCTATCCAATAAAAATGAGAACCTCAAGAATTGTTGTGATCCAATTAAAGTAACAATGCAGAGGGAATAAAATGGCTATAATAACGTTATGGACCATAAAACATTCCTATTAAACCATTTTTTATTTTAGCAATTTTTACGAACTTTAAAAGTTTGATTTACAGCTGAGAAAGTCATAAAGCCATCTTTCAGGGTATTAAATTGTCAGTCCCTCTACTGCACCAGAGAAGGAATTAAATGCTGGGAAGCCAAACTATAAATGAACATTAGCGCTAACAAGATTTTGTTATAGCAGATTTTAGTAGCCATGTTTAATTTTATCCTCCCTATAAATCTAGTAGTCACTGGAAGTTTTTTAACTTATTTCCCTTAATTAAGGATCTGCAGGTTTCCAGGGAATGGGCCTAAGTGTCTTTTAATTGTGAACTCGTGGCCCGTGGTGCAGCAGGGTGCAGGAGCGGAGAGCGGAGTTACCGCATCTTGCAGGCTGACTTGCCGAAATGCTTCCTCATGCCGGGGAAATTGCTTTTGGGGTGAAGTCCTCCACTATGTGCCAAGAGTCCTGCGAGGGACTCAGCATCGTCCCTGCGCACGGGGAAGCTCCAGGGCAGCTGCTGGATTTTGCTTCCCCAGCACCTCCCCGCACTATCAGCAGAGGGGTGTTTGTTTGTACAGTACCTGCAGAGGGGTGTGTGCTTGTACAGTACCTGCAGAAGGGTGTTTGTACAGTACCTGCAGAGGGGTGTTTGTTTGTACAGTACCTGCAGAAGGGTGTGTGTTTGTACAGTACCCGCAGAAGGGTGTTTGTTTGTTTGTACAGTACCTGCAGAGGGTTGTTTGTTTGTACAGTACCTGCAGAAGGGTGTGTGCTTGTACAGTACCTGCAGAAGGGTGTTTGTACAGTACCTGCAGAAGGGTGTGTGCTTGTACAGTACCTGCAGAAGGGTGTTTGTACAGTACCTGCAGAAGGGTGTTTGTACGTCTCCTGCCATGAGGTGACCTGCACACAGCGATCTTCGCTGCCTTCAAGGTGATGGGATCCATTCAGATTTCATGTAAATGATGTTATATATATACAGGCTTTTGTTTCCATGTTTCCATATAGGTTTCATGTAAATGCGAGTTATTATTATTGCTAGTGATAGTGGACATAATAGTCACTTGTGTTTCACAGCACAAAAGTGAGATATCTCTAAGCAAACCACTTCAAACACCTCAGTTATTTCCTCTTCTGCTCCTGCCTCACTTCATCCAATTTTTTAAGCCAATGGAAGAAATGATCAGTGGTGATATTATTTTCGTGGGCTGTTATCAGCTGCCACTTGAGTTCAGTGTCACTCGGGAGAAACTCGAGTGTGCTGGCAGCCCAGGCAGCAGCTCCCTGGCCACTGCGCCGGGATCCGTTGCCACCAGGGCTGTGGTTAACGGGGAGAGAGGCATTAAAAATTCCACACACACGCACACACAGAGCACTCTCACTCTCTAAATTTTGGGTCGAATGGTTCTTGTCAGCTAAAAAATACCAGCGTGCAAATTAGCATCAGATGTAACACACATTCGTTTCCCATCTCGCTCTGCTGTTGCCACACTCCAATAAAACCCCAGAGATGCCTGTGAAGCTGGCTGGCTGTTTTACAACTTTATAAATATTCTGATTCTTCTACAAGCTGGAAACGTGCTGCACAAAACACCTTAAAGAAAAGAAAAAGAAAGCCTGGAGCAGGGAGAGCAGCAGTGAAGAAGCCCAGACAATAATACTGCGTTTGTGTGGGGTAGTGAGGATGCAGCGAGGATGCCAGCTCCCCATCCATGACACCCTCGGCTCCCAAGTCTCATTTTCCACACAAACCTTCCCTCTCTGCTTCTAATTTTTCATTTAAAATAGTTTTCTAGTCTCTCAGCCCTTCCAGCCTCATAGTGGCTGACAGGTATTCATGCTCTGCTGCCTTGGAGTTAACCCTGCGTGAGCCACTGTAAATCATTTGATATTAAATTCAGTGTTTCATTTTTCTTCAGTAAAGCCACGCAGGGTGAGACTCTCCCATGGAGTTTAATAGGCATGAAACCAAAGGATACTACGCAAACGTAATACAATTCCTTACAATAAAGTATAAAGCTCCAGAGCATTTAACAATGAATTACACCTATTTAACCTATACATCTATTTTTATAAATGAAGAAATAAGCAGCAGGAATACAGTTCTCCATATAATTCCATGAAGTGGTTCAAAAATATTATGAAAGATTAATATTTCTTTTTAAATCCAATCTGGCTTTTGCATGTGAAGGCCTCCCATGAAAAATGCATTTTATTGGTTGATGCAGGTATGTATTATATTTTTATCATCCTAAACATGTAAAAAAAAAAAATGCAATAGTGTCAAACAGCAGCCAAGCGTGGAGCCGAGAAACTCCTGGAATTAAATAACTGCCCTCTGCAGAGCCTCCCCACCCTGCCCGGAGCACGGCGAGCAGGAGGAGGCTGGTTTGGTCCCCGGCAGGAGTGGGGGCCCAGGAGCTGCAGGGAAGGGGCCTGCGGAGCAAATGGACCCCAGAAATCAGAAGTGGGGGCACGGGCGCGAGGAGCGGGCAGGTAAGGGCTCCAAAAGACCAGAAAATGCCCGGTGTTATCAGCTGGAAACACGGGCTGTGCATCCCCAGTCACCGTGTGCAAATCCAGAGATCGCGTTGCCTTCCGATGAGTAAAGACACGAGAGCTCTGAATAAAAGATTAAAAGATGGAGATAGTTTTACAGAGCTAGCTTTTACTTTTTCTAGAAATTTAGAAATAATTTTCACTAGTCCTCCGGAAGCTGGAGAAATCTAGATTTCATTTTTACGGCTTGAACCACATCTGGTATATATGTAACACTCCTGTTAAAATGGTGAGACAGCAGCGCTTGAAACTCAAATGATTTTATACCCTCTTCTAAGCTGTGCCTTTGCCCACATATTTGCTTTACTGTGTAGTCCTGGAGCATCTGTATTTTTGATACCTAATAAAAACATTTATTACTCAAACAGAAAAAAACCTGGTAGGAATAAAAAAAAAAAATATTGCTGTTTGTTTTTGGCAAAAGCCCTGCCTTGACAGGATTTCTGTTGCAGTGCAGAGAACCTGGCTTCTTTTTTATGGCTGAAACAGCTCTGTCGGGCTGTGCAGAGCTCGGGCCAGAGCTGGGGGAGACATGTGCAACTGCTACCTGTTCAGATGTTTGACAGCAAAATTCTACTTTGTTCCAGAGCAAAACTGACATTCAAATGGCAGGAATAGCTGCAGCATCTTGAGTGCTGCACGGATTTTGTTTATTTTAAGGGTAAACTTGTGGCTCAGATTTACCCACAGGCACTAAAATGAAAGTTCTCCCTCACTTCGCACCCAACACGCATCAGACAAACACACATTTCACTTGTGACTTCCTTAAGATGACTTTTAAAGATCGAGGCATAATAAAGCCTCGCTGCTTCCCTGCATGTTGGTTAATCCCTTGCAACCGTCAGGTAAAACAGATTTTAGAAACAATGGAATTCATCTGCACAACTCCTGTGACATTTTAGGGTAATCTGTGCTTAAATCCTTCGGGCTGCTTGGAGAAGCTGACCCTCGAGGTGCTTTTTTACATGCACTTTGCATATTTATGCCATTCTCTCTGCCTCGCTCCTTGATTATATGTCTCCTGTCAATACTGGCTCACATTCAACTTACACAGCATGAGTCACGCTGATGGACTTGAGATGGTGTATAAACAGGGAAAGATGCCAGATTAAATACTAAACTCTTCTGTGTAGATAGTGATGGACAGTAGTAGGTTACAGGTTCCAATTAATGCAGTTATCCTCTGCTGCAGACAGGCTTTGAGTAAAAGCCTTTGATTCTCTTTAACCAAACCTTCCTCAGCTCTGTCTTTACCCCTCTTCCCATGGTTTGCACACTGTAAGAAGCTGCACGACCAAGCCAGGGGGGCCTGGGCTGGGCTGGGGCATGCATACTGCAAAAGCTGAAGATGGCAACAATTTCTTAGGTCACCTCGCACACCCTGGCCGATGCACAATACAGCAGCTTCACTGGCTAGCTTCATTTTATATGACTTTAGTGGCAAAACTCCTGTTACTTGACTTGGCTAGGTCTGGGACTTAGGAGGTTTGATGTCACTCTGTCAAGAAGCAGCTCTTGATATTCATCTCTTCTTGCCCTGGCCTCATCCCGTACCTCCCTGCAGCACTCCCTCGTCCCTCCCAGGTGTCAGTATTTGAAGTATTTGCTCTGTTTCCCTTCTTCACTCCTTGCACAATGCTCAAAAGTCAACACGTAGGAAGGTCACAAGGATGAGAGGCGGCTGAGCACTGCTGCAGCCGGTGCTTTGCATCAGATCATCAGATCGTGTGGTGTTTGCAAAGCTTTGAAGGAAGACAGAGACTCCTCTTCTTTCCTTGCTACACTCCTGCTTGTCTCAGACCCCCACGCGAGGACCTGAGCCCCACGTGCCATCCCTTCCCTGGCCCTGCATCTCCAGCAGCGGCAGCTCAGCCCTCGCCACTGCTCCCTCTATCTCACTAGCACGACTGGTGGGTTTAATTTAGCCAATTTTCAACTCTACTAGTTTCTTTAAGATCCATGTCAAGGTTGCTTTCCCATCTAATGTGTAAGCACATTGAACCCTTCTGGTTTATCATACAAATGTGACCTCCCCGTCTGTCTTGGTAGATGAGATCCTTGGGAATGAAATTTCTGCTTTTCTTCCCTTCCCTTCTGGCAGCTTTCTGGGAGCTGTCTGCTGGGGCTGCTTTCTTACCTGATAATGCATCAAGGTGTTCAGGCGCTTCCAATCTCCTTCAATCTTGGTGGTGATGTCTTCATCTTGAAGGACCACACGAGCTATCCGGCCCTGCCGCCACTCTGGGAGAGGCAAAAACCAGGCAGACACGATGGTCAGAGCGGAAAAAGGCACCAACAGGCTCTATCTGCTTCTGGCCCAAGTAACTACTGGACAGATGAGCCTGTAGAAAAGCCCATTTCCTGGGAAAGGGGCACCCAGAGAAAGCTAAATTCTCAGCAGAGTGAAGGAGCCTTCAGGAATCATCTGCTCTGTGGTCAGTGGACAATTAGCTGATCCCACAGAGCTCAAAGCCTACCCGGCAGGAGCAGTGCCCATGCTTTCTAGGGGCAGAAGCATGTATGGTGGTGTGCAGACCTGAGCTCTAGTTTTCAAGCTCTGCAAAACCCACCAAGAATCACTGTTCATCCTCTCTGACCTTCCCCTCCTACCAGGCAGGGAAGCTCCTACCCAAGTCCATGTCAACAGCTCTTGGTCTTTGAGAATATGGGACGTTCTTGTATACTGCATCGAGGATCTTCTCTTTGACTTGAGTGATGGTATCACAGTTCAGCACCTTCACAGGGATCTCTGGACTGTTCTCATTATCTGGGTTCACACAGTTTAGGATCTGAAAGGGAAGGAGAACCACACCGTGCTCTAAAGGGCTTCAGACAAGCATCCTGAGAACTGTAACCACGTGTCACCAACAACCCGTTCTCATAAAAAAACCCCACTGCATCCCTAATTTCATCACTGCTGCTGCATCTAGTATATCTTTACAATGATTACTAACATAGGAGCCCGATGTCCGTTTTCATTTGCTGGAAGGAGCGCAATGCTCAATGCGCATGGAGATAAACCACTCCCCTCAAGCCCTGCCTTTCAAAACCTTAGCTCAGGATATTTGTACCCGCAAATTAGGGACACACTTGATGTGGGCATGGGTCTAACAGCATGAGGCTTTATTGCCCTGGCAACTGGCTTCACGGTAGTGTCCTAATCACTGGCCTAAAGGTCAGAACAGTTCATGTCTAAGTGGGGAGGACTGAAGCGATTCAGTGGCAGCTTCTACAATGACCACTCACCAGAGTCTTGTACTCAATTTGCTGCCGGATCAGCTTGTCCTCACTCAGGGAGTAACGGGCTTCTCCTGTGATGGCATCAATCGGACCTTTCTCCATCTGTTGCTTGATGGCACAGTAGAGCATGAAGAGAGGCTCTCCAGCACATTCCTACACAATGAGATGGAAAGCAAAACTAACACAGAGGTGAAGGTGCATCTCCTCCGGGCCACTGGCCTGCACACAGGTTTTGCAGATGATCCATTCCAGCAGAAGCACAGTCCCACCATGTGCAATCCAGGCTCAGCCCCCAGCAGCTCCTGGGGAGGACAGCCAAAACCACGAGCTCCATTGCTTGATGGGCGTGTTGCCTTTGGCTTGATAAATCTCTACTGAATCTATATGGCTGTAAAAAAGGGAATTTGAGATCTTGATTTCATTGCTCACTGCCATGAAGCAAATTCTGTGGGTCTTCCAAAACCACAAATAAAGTTAAAAAATAGGGAAGCCCAGGCACGGAGCTGTAAGTGAGAATTTCTGCTAAGTACTGAAGAGGTGCAACAGAAAGTCCACTACATGAGAATTACACCAGGCGATCCGAGGGTTCAAGAGGGCTGAGCACGGAGGCTGTGCCAGCTTGACTGAGCCCATGTAAGAGCAGCCCCAGGTGTAGGTACCTCTGAGCGAACTTCCACCTCCCCCGCCTTGCTACTACATCTTTTGAATTGGAGTCTGACTGGAATGTTTCAAGCCCAGATTCACCCCGGGGATGGCTGAGGGGTGGGACAGCAAAGCAGCAGCGGGGTCTCAGCTCCATCCCTCCTTACCTTGAGGAACTTGTGGAGGAGGAAGGCAAACCAGTTCGTCAGCATCTTCTCAGCCACCGACTCGGTCCTAGGGAAGCCAGGAGGACACACGCGTTACATGCAAAACCAAACCATGCATCAGAGGCCCCAAATCTCCCCGGGTGGCACCACCCGGCTGCACCCTGGCACAGCTCCTGTGGTGCTCTGAACCGGGGCAGGCAGCAGGATGAGGCCAGTGTTGTCCCCTGCTCCTGCTGCACCGAGCTGACAGCAGCTTGTCCAGCTGACAGCCCGTCACAGCCCTGATGGGGCTGGTGACAGGGAGCCTGGTGACACTGGGCTCCTTGCACGTGGTGCAAATTACAGCCTGGCTCAGTAAATCACTGGGATTTGCAGCAGTTCCTGGCAATCAGGGACAGCAGAGTGACAATGGCAGGGAAATTGCAGTTTTCTCCCCAGTCCCACCCAGTGTCCTCTCCCCACATTGTACCCAAGATTATCTCTAATTTAAATACAATGGCTCCTAATGATAGTTTTTAATGCTGGCTCTGCAGGACCAGGAGACTTTCCTTAAAGCACCACAACCCCTTTTTCCCAGGGCAGGGATGGGATGGCTGTGCTGGTGGCAGGGTGTCTCCCAGTTTGCATCTGAGCCCCAACCACACAGGTCACACTGGGGGTGGCATGCAGGCAGGCAGGCAGGTGAGCAGGCAGGTAAGCGAGCAGGCAAGCAGGAGGTTGGGCAGGCAGGCAGGCAAGCAGACAAGCAGGTGAGCAAGCAGGCAAGCAAGCAGGCAGACAGACAGGCAGGCAAGCAAGCAGGCAGGCAGGCAGACAGACAGACAGACAGGCAGGCAGGCAGGCAGACAGGCAGGCAGGCAGACAGGAGGGCAGGCAGACAGGAGGGCAGGCAGACAGGCAGGCAGACAGGAGAGCAGACAGACAGGCAGGCAGGCAGACAGACAGGCAGACAGACAGGCAGGCAGACAGGCAGGCAGACAGACAGACAGGCAGGCAGGCAGGCAGGCAGACAGACAGGCAGACAGGCAGGCAGACAGGCAGGCAGACAGACAGGCAGACAGACAGGCAGGCAGGCAGGCAGACAGACAGACAGGCAGGCAGACAGACAGACAGGCAGGCAGGCAGGCAGGCAGACAGGCAGGCAGGCAGACAGGCAGGCAGACAGGCAGACAGGCAGGCCTGCCTGCAAGGCCGTGCAGGGAAGAGCTGCTCTGCTGCAGCCGAGCCAGCCCCCTGGGCAGCCTGGCTCTCCGCACTCCCCTTCCCCTCCTGCCACGCCAGGATCTGGTCCATATTTCAGCAAGCAGAGAGGGGTGGATCCAACACCTTGCCCTCTGCAGCACCCTCTCCTCTGGGCACCATGCAGCAAGGCAGCGGCAGCTCCCGGCACCTCTCTGTGCCTTCACCCCCTTGGCCAGCAGCTCTGCTCCTGGTGCCATTCCTGCCAACGGCATTTTTGGCCCCCAACCTGCTCAGAAGATGCCCAGCGGGCACGGCGATGCACCGAGCCTCTGCCTCTGCCCATACCCCGACCTGCAGTGAGTCACCGTCCCGCCCCGGACCCATTTCCCCTATTCTCCCCCATCTGCTCTGCTGCCTTGAATTAGGGACTGCCTCTTGGTATGTATTTATACAGCACCCCGCATGTTTGAAAACTCTGGCATTTAATGAAAAACACACACTGTAGAAGCAACAGGGTTTGATCCCAACATCAAGCAGATCAAGTATAAACGGGAGCCACAGATTTCAGCAAACAAAAACTGACACCAGTCGGCAAACAGACCTAGGGTCACATTACCATCATCTCTTAGGATCACAACATCTGCCAGGAATTTGTGAAAATGTCTGCAGATCCCCAAAGAATTTAAGCCTGAATTGATTAACTGCCTAAAAATTCATCCTACGAACCAACAGACACATTGTTCTCCTGTTTAAAATATTTCAGTCACCCAATTAAGGAGGAGAAGCACTAGCACACTGCCACACCAGTGAGGCACAGAAAATGGTGAGTCAGTGATACAAACTAAAGAATAGGTGAAAAACTCAGAAAATGATACAGTCAAGACTTCGGGGTGAGTATTAATTTAATAAACTGCTTTGTTAATAGATTATTAAATTAAGAATTGGCAAGCCTCCTGATTAGCCCTACCAGTGAAGCAATGCTGTGTCTTGTAGCTGTTGGCTGCTCATGGCCTGGCACCAGCACCGTAAAAATAACTGAAATGTGGAGTGACAGAGAAGTTGGGGCATATTGTGTGGGAGAAGGGTATTGGATACTCCCGTGCCTAGCTGTTCCCTTTTATTTCTTTACCAGAAATACAAGATCAGCTGAACGGAATGGCAAAAAGAAACACCTCAGATCATCTCTGTCAAATCCCATTTCTCCTTATTTTCAAGCTGAATCTCACGCTCCTCTCAACAGAGACGGACGCCGTGAGATATCTGCCGTGCACCAGCCCAGGGGACGGCCGACCACTGAGTTGATCATCACTGTCCCAACACTGGCTGAGGAAAGGGGCTGCTTGCGACCTTCATCGCTGCTGGGTGCAGAGCAGCACTGCCAGGTCTTTGCAGACGAGTCCGCTGTAGGTGCCTCCCCCAGCCTCTGCCTTTGCGAAGGGATCGGTGCTGGCTGGCGGGGTGAGCTGTCCCTCGAGCTCTGCCTGCCACCACGGGGCCTGACCCCTCTTTCTCTCTGCCCCACGGGAAGGGTCTGCTGAGCCACAGCATCAGCTGCTGCGGGGCTTTGTGCTGCCCCTCGGCCCGCGCCGCTCCTATGCCGCCGCTGGGCTGGTATCTGAAACACTGCCCCTAAAAATAAAAAATAAGCTCCTGAACATTAACATGGCAGGAGAGAATCCCTAGACTCGGAGAAAACCCTCCTCTCATTGACCACATAACAAGGGCAAAGCACGATCCAGAGGTGACTTTCCAAAGGAGTCTGACGCCAGCAACCAGCGCCTTGGCTGCTCCTCCGACTTTCTGAGGCACCAGGAATAAAACAAAACTAAACAAAAAGAGCTGAGAGATCCCCAAAAATAAATATGTATTTTATTAATTTTCCCTGCTATATCTAGGTCTCCAAACTGCTGTGTTGCTGCGCTCTGTGCCAGGAACCAGAACAGCTATTTGATTTAATGTCAACTTTTTTGCTGTCTCCCGCGAGGGGCAGTCATGGAAGAAAGAGAGAGGGGAAAACGAGGAAGAAAGAGAGAAAGAAGTGAGTGCCAATTATCAACTGCTGCCACCAGAGAGCTCAAAAAAGAAAAAAAAAAAAAAAAAAGTATCTCACTTTGTGGTTGTTCACTCCTTATTAAGTCAGAGCAAGATGTTCCAGCCCGGGTGGTTTTGGGCACCAGCACCAGTCGGGAGCGTGGGCCCAGGGCTGGGACAGGGCTCCAGCCACAGGTTTGTGGGGCCTGCAGCGACAGGACAAGGGGCAATGCTTTTAAACTAAAAGGGAGTAGATTCAGACTAGGTACAAAGAAGAAATTTTTGACAATGAGGGTGGTGAAACACTTGACCAGGTTGCCCAGAGCGGTGGTGGATGTCCCATCCCTGGAAACATTCAAGGTCAGGTTTCCTGGGGAATGGCTAAATCCTGGTGCAGGACAGCCAGCCCCGCCGCTGCTGGCATCGCTCTGTCTCTCCGCTGGGTGCTGCGGGGAGGAGGGGGCACAGCTCTGATCACCAGCCATGTATTTCTTGGAGCACCATGAAAAGTCATTATTGATGGCTGAGGCAGAAGACGCCTTCCCAGTGACTCGTCAAACCACGGGGGAAATTAAGATGGCTTCCTTTTCTGAGATGAGTTATTGCCTCTGCAAACACAGCCAGATTTAAAGCAATTTCCTGTCAAGTATATTCATTATGGCTGGAGGAATCCCTGAAATTTTCCTAGAGCTGTGAAATCCTCCCCTTGCTTTCATCCGCTCGCTCCAGCGAGATGCCAGCAGAGCCACAGGCCCCGCTCTGCAGCACAGCCGGGACCCAAAGGGACAGGGGATGGAGGTGGCTCATCACGCGGAGAACAGGGGTAGCCTTTTACTTGTAGCTGCTGATCTGGCCTACATTAATACACACTTTCTCCCCTTTTTCTTTCTGCCATTTCCCAGCACAGTCTTGGATGAGTCACTTAATCCATTCTTGAGCTCCTTCCCCCAGCTGTGAAACACAAACCCTGCTGCTCCATCCAGGCAATGATGCTGCGAGGATAAAGCCCATAAATACCTGTGAGGTAGCTCAGACACGGGAGGGTGAAGGTCACAGAAGCATCCTGGGCTGCCATCAGGAAGGGGACCAAGCCTTGCTGGGCAGCCTGCCTTTCCCTGACAGCCCCAGGGGCAATTCACAGCATCGCCCATCCGAGAGGTACTTTTCTTCACTAGGTCTTTAAAGCTCTACTCATCACAATAATGCCACAGCTCACGGGGAAACAAGGACCCTATGTACTGTACTGACATGTAAGAAACTGGGCTCCTGCCTTTCAGAGCTTGAAGCCCAGTAAGATGACTGAAAGAGCTGAATCTCTGCTCCTCCAGACCCTGCTGTACCCGAGCTGGTGCCTCCTCTTCCCTGCCTGGATGCACAGGGCACTGCTTGGTACCAGCAACGTGCAGGGGGTGGAAAGCTCCAGTTTTTGTGCCATTCACCTCTCCACCGTGACGCTGCCCTGAGGCAGCCCCACACAGGACTGGCGGTGGGGGCTAAGCCCATTTGCTGAGCCCCTCGGGCATCTCTGCACACCCAGGTGGGAAGCAGGAGCTGGGGCAGGTGAGTGCAGGAGGCAGCTGGATGGCAGAGGTGACAGTGCTGGCATCATCACCTGCTCCCAGCCAAGCCAGGGAGCAGGGGCGCTGCTGGGGCAAGATTAGGAGTGAGAGACTTGCAGCAGAGGTAATAGCTCGCTCAGATCCAATCCAAGACTCTGTTCAGCCATCTGTGAAATCACAGAGTAGGGTTTAACCCTGGGTCCTGGAGACAAGCAAAGAGATGGATGGGTCATCCAAAAGCCTCCATGGAGAGCAGCGTTTTCCTTCTGACACCAGCACCATGGTTCTGCAGAGCCCCCGGATGCCACCAGCAGCATGGTCGTGCCAGCCCGGGCAACGGCACCGACCTGCCCGCAGCCCCGGCCCCTCCCCGGCCCCCGGCGTTACCTGCGCAGGAGCAGTTTGGGGTGGTTCTTGTTTTCCAGGTTCTTCTCGATGAGGTCGGAGAGCAGCTGCTTCAGCACGTCGGTGGCATACTCCAGCTTGCCTTGCAGACCCGTCATGATGAGCGAGGCCACGTTGCCGCGATCGCGCATGGAGAAGCTGCGCTGCAGCTCCAGCGTTCGGATGAAGGTCAGCAGGAAGACTTTGTTGTTTATCAGCTGAGCAAAGAGCTTCAAGGCCTTCTCCACGCTCTGCTGCCCGTTCCCCTGGACCTGCAGTGGAAGAGAGCTCATCAGCCACGGCACAGGGGGACAAGGGAGCGCAGGGCAGCCCCGCGCCACCGCGGGGTCACTCTGCCATCGCTGGTGGTGGGGTGGAGGGTCGAGCTCTGGGTGCACAAGCCAGCACCTCATCTCTGAGGGCGTCAGCATCCCTGACCGTGGCCTCTGGCCAGTTCTGAACAAGTGTCACCCTTCCCGTCCTCCCGCAGCACGGCTCGCCTTAATCATTGCTCCGAGCTGCACTCTCTGCATGCCATAAAGCTGCTGCTTTGAGGCTAACAGCCCTATAAATGACATACAAATTTGCTTGTTCTGCACAAAAAGTGACACTCTTGTAAGTAAATTAAATACTAATTTAGACTATTGCTTTATTATGGGACAAGTGTAAAAAATTAATTGAGGCTTTCAGCCAGTTGAGGATTCAAGTAATTCATTACAAGTGAAAATGATGAACTACATTAAGCAACTCTTTACCAAACATCTTGGAGACTTATGCATTGGTTTTACTGACGTTACATAATTAAGCAACTGTGTAATTGGCAACACATTTATCACTTCTGCAATTCTGTTTTTCATGAGTAAAACAAATAAAAAGCATTCAATATTTGTTTGCTAGAGCATCAGCTTATTTGGCAATTTAAACAGCAAACATAATGCATGAGACTGGAAAACTCAAGGCCTGGGAATGGGCTGGGAGAGGCTGGTTCAAAGCCTGTGTCAGTTTTACCAACACCACAGCAACTGCTCAGTGTCGGTTGCCCACTGGAAAGGAATTTAGCTCGAGGCCTTAATGCTAAGCAGTGCTCGCCTGGAAAAGCAACACAGGCGTATGGAGCACAAGCAATCAATGCTTCTTCCTCTTACATCCCTGGCTGAGGATCTGGGCCACCCCCCGGTCTGTGTGAAGGCAGCAGGACTGTCGGGATTTTCTGGAGCAATGCCTGTGCCGGGGGCAGCGCTGAGCCCGGTGCCTCGGGCCAGCCCGGAGCGGGGACGGCAGCCCCACGCTCGGTGGCAGATAATGTTTCTTGAAGCACCATCATTTTTTTTTTTTTTTTTTTTTTGGCATTCTCACAGGCGAGCGAGGGCTCACCTGCAAGGTGATCTGCTGGACCCTTGTACGTTACCAATTCTTCTATACCCTCAGGGAAAATCTGATGTCTATATTGACACACAGTGGTGGAAAAACCAGGGTGGTGCAAGGGCTTGCTCCCAGCCAAGCCGGAGTCCACCATGCCTGGCACGGCGCTTGCCCTCCTGTGGACACGCCACGGAACAGCAGCAGCGGGATGCTCCAGGCAGGATGCGCCCAGGGACACAGAGCCTCCCCCTGCACCATAAGGTGATTAAGAAGGACTTTAAAACGACACCGATAACTTACCTGGCAGGCTTTGCTGCTGGCCTATAGCAATATAAAAACCCACCAAATAAAACTGAAACAACACCGGGGAGAAGAAACCAAAATGAATCGAAATGAATCAAGCCGTGTGCAACGGAGATAAAACACCAACTTCTTAGTTAAAATGAACGCTGGGCTCATCCTGCTAACCCCAGAGCCTCTAATAAGATTTGGTGTGGAAAGCATAAAGGTGCTTCAGGGTTTCACTGTGGCTTCCCCGAGGGCTCAGGGAAACTTCGAAGAGCCGGAGCACAGCCTGTTCCTTACCTCCAGCTCCCGTAAGACAGGATGGTCCTCGATGCCAGGGAAAAGGACCCTCATGGCATACGTCCGATAGTCGAGGTACGGGATCCCCGAGCGATCCAGGTCGCTGGTTAATTCATTGATGTCCGTCTGCAGCTCTGCAAACGCTACTCGGGGAGGACAGAGCAAGACAGAGAAACGCACGTGAGCTCCAGGAGCCGAGGCTGCGGGGCAGAGGCCGGGGGGGGGCTGGCTGCCGGCTCTCCGGGGGCCACGGCAGCAACCGTAAACGGGCCAGCTCAGGAAACCGATTCGGAGGAGACCTCGTGGCTTAGCTCAGCCAGACCCTCACCCTTGGAGACTGCCTCAGAGCACACACTGCACACGGCAGATGCCGAGAACAAAAGACGCTTATTAATTTGTATGCAGTTCACACCTGTGTGTATACACACCTAAAACACCTTTAAAGGCTGCAGATAGAAATGAGGATCTATTTTCGTAACTTGTTACCGCCCATATTTTCCTTTCTTCTTCTTCTCCTCCTCTATCAACAGTTGCCAGAATAATAAAATCTGATGCAGATCAAAGCCAAGCAGAAATTGCCAGCTGCAAGGGTCAGGAAGGAATTTATTCTTCCTCTTGTAACATAACATCATCGTGTTATACAGCTGTATGTGTGTCCTTCTCCACAGTGTGAACCACTGGCTCAGTAAGGTTTCTGCACCCCAGCTAGGCTGTGCCCGTGCCAAAGCTGCGGCCTCTCCTGAAGATATCTCGTTTTTCGTCCTGTACTTTCAAGGCTACCCTTTTAAAATCAGCTGAACCAATCCAGTGCAACTCCCTCTATATACACAGGACACACTATGAAATTTGCATGTTTCTATTTATCTTTCTTGGATTCACTAAGCTCCCTTCCAGCTGGAAGGACATAGGAAACAACAGCAGCACGCCTCCCCAGAACGCTTTCTGTCTCAACCCACCAGCTACAGAAGGGACTGCCCACCTCCACCGCCGCTCCCCTGCGGAGAGGCTGAGCTGCTTCCCTGCAGGGACAAGACTTCTCTGTGTTGAATTCTGCAAGCGGCAGGTCTAGCTGGTCCAAATAACACGTGGGATTTCCCAGAAGCCAATGCCTGAGGAGCTTCTTCCCTCAAACCAACTCTTACTGCCCTGGGCTCTCATCTTAGAGAGTGCAGGAGGGACTGGTCCAGCCTTCCGTTTGGGATACACCCCCGTTCTCACAGGTCTGAACCTCCTCCGCTCCATCTCTCACTCTGTGCCTTCTTAAAAGCCCTTTAACCAAAAGGCCATTAGACAAGGGGACGTGCTGTGCTGGGCATGCTGGGGCTCACGCTGCCCTCGCAGCGCGATCCAGGCATGTCACTTAAGCAGGATCAAGCTCTAATCCTATTCTCTGCACGAGGCAGCAGAGCCGTGTCTGCTGCTGACACACTCGCCGCTGCCCTCCCTCCCGCGGCGGGGCAGGCGTGCAAACCTCCCCGGGGGGGCACGCACCCCGCTCCTCGCTGCAAAAACGGGGTGACTGGGGTGGCTCCGGTAGGGAAAGCTGGGGAGCAGAGCGTGGGGCCGCAGCACGCAGAGAGCGCCCGGTCCCGGGCAGTACTGACCCTCCTTGCACTCCAGGGCCACCCGGGACTCCAGATTGTCCATCTGCATCTGCAGCCTCTTGAGGGTCAGGTCGTTCTCCCGGGACTTGCGCTTGTAGGCGATGAGGACGATGATGACGATGATGAGGAGCAGGCTGCCTCCGGCCGCGATGCTGACGATGGCCGGCAGGGTCAGCAGGCTGTCCGAGATGATGCTCACCGAACCAGGGGAGAAGATGATACCACCAACACGCACCTACGAAGCACAATGGAGGTAACCAGCAGCTGCGGGGAAGGGTGTCAGCCTGTCCCAAAGCCCCATCCTTCCCCCCGGGGGCACCCCCCGCCCGGGCTGCGCAGACCCGAAGGAAGCACCGAACCACCTCGGTTTCAGCCAAGACTACAGCAACTCCGATCGCCTTCAGGCACAAAGGGTGCAGCTCACGTGAACACAGCGAGGCTTCAAGCCATGATAAATGTGCCAGCCCTTCGCTATCTGGGCTTTGTTCTTATTATCTGATGGCTCCATTTGACTTTCATTTTATAAGCTTTCAACTCCCTTTTGTAAGCCATGGACATTAGCAATCCAGTGATAATTTCACTGACAAGAAACCAGAGTGACTGGGAAGAGGAAGGAGAGGAGGGAAAAGAAAGCCCCATGTGAAAGCACCAGAGCAAACATGCTGGAAGTTAATGTCGGGACGGGCTTTTCTTGGATGTGTCCTGGCCACAGATGCAAGCAGCTCTCAGCCAGGTTGCGCTTCTGTGAATCACACTGTGATAATCTGAATATGTTTTGGATGCTGAATTTAAAGGGAAATAAATCACAGTTACAATCTCGTTTGGTCTCTAGTCAAGCACTTCGGCAGCTGTGTGCTTGGTCTGTGAGTGGATCAGAGGAAGCAGCAATGCCCAAAACCAAAGCAGAGGAAAACACCGACTGTTATCCTGGACGAGGCTGTTGATCCCATCAGTCCAGTGTTCCAATGTCCCTGGTTGCTTCTGCTTCCAGAAAAGGCAAAACCTTTCCATCCACTTAGCAGCCTGGGTCTGATACAAGGACTGATAGAATCCCCACAGGGGGGAGAACACAGCCCACAGAAATGGTCTCACCTAGAAGAGCAAGCAGCACCAGAGAAAGGATGGTACCTGGTGCTGAAGGCACTGCCAGAAAGATTTGTTCTTTCTAGAAGGCTCTGAGAGTAGGTGGTGAGTCTCAGGGAGGGAATAAGAAATTTCTCCATGCTAATCCACATCAATATTTTAAGCTTCCAATTAGACAGCCGTAAAGATCTAAAAATCCTACTGATCCTTGGACAAGAAATTGCACTCAATACCTGAGCGAGTCAGGGAGCTGGAGGAGGAGGAGAAAGGATGGGAAGGAGGGAGGGAAGGGATGCTGACAGGGGTGTTTTTTCCCTCACCATCACTTTGTGCTGTCCGGTGAGGTTTGGCGGCTCGCACAGCAGCTGGGTCTCGGAGACGGTGACGGCGCAGGGTGTTTCTCCGATCAGCACGGTGTAGTTGAGCTTTGCTCCTCCAGGAGCGGGTGGGCACAGGTTTCTGCCCTAGGGACAAGGCGAGAGCAGACTGTACAAAGATGCAGCACATTTCTCCAGCTTTCGTCTCCTTCCCAGCTTGTGCAAGCGATGGGACTCCATCTAGTGTAACCCTGTTCTCCAAAGGGGGTATAAAACTCCTCGCTCTGGGATTTTTTGCCTCGTCCCACCCACGGGGTAAGGGTCTCCTTACCTTCAGGATGATGGGTGAGCCCGGCTTCTGCTCCAGCACCCCGGTTGGGCTCAGGAGTTCAAACGTCGGGTTGGGGTAGTATACGAACTTGGTGTCGTTGTAGACCAGCAGGGACTGCACGTTGTTAAAGATAAACCCAAACTCATCCGGCCGCTCGACGGCGTCCAGGCCGGGCCGGTACTCGGGGGCGAGGGGGGGAGCGAGGCAGGCCAGCGCTGTGGCGTTCACCACCTTGCAGACCTGCGGGGAAGGCGATGCTTTCAGAGACGGCAGGGAAGAACTTATCCCGACCCGGACAAGGATGTTCTGATTCCTTAAATACGCCCTGAAATGTCCAGCAGATTCAAGTTCAGCCGGCAATTTAATCCAGGCTTGATGCACTGCAGCCACAGGTTGGGGGAATTTGCTTCCCCTGCAGCCAGTGCCAAGGCAGAGATGGACAGCGAGCTTCGAAATGAGCAGTGTTTTGAAGGAGCTAGGGGCTTGCACTGTGGATCACTTACACCCTTTTCCCTTATTTTATTGTTTTCTTTTCTTTCCAGCTGCATCCCCTTTGGCAATGCTACCTTTGAAACAGACCCATAGCAAATACCTGGTCCGTACTACAAACTGGTGATTAGAGGCAATTCCCGAGTGCCAGCGAGGGGGAGGAACAACCGTCTGACACTCGTGGGCTGGAGGTACCACCAAGGTCATCTCCTGCCGGGCTGAGGACACCCACAGCTCCTCCAGCCCTGGAAGCAGGGAGCTGGCTGATTTATGAGACTCTTGCCTTATAAAGCAGCAAAAGCCCAACTGTTTGGCCTCCCTCCATAAGTGGAAGATTTCATTTCACTCAATTTTGTGTCTTCAGAATTATTTTTGTAGCACTATAACTGCAACTGCTAACAACAAAATTAGATGTCTCTTTAAAAAGAGCTCAGATGAAAAAGGTCTTCAGAGGCGAAGGGAGAAAGGGAACAGGAAAAGACTACAGAATGATTTGCCCTTTCCAAGATAATACAAATTCAGTCAGGAAGATCACTGCATGGAAACAATATATTTCAGTTTTACTTGGTCAAAATAATTTCTGTGGGTCCTGGAGGTACAATTCTTATTTGTAGCATACAAGAACATCACTTAGTTCCAGTTCAGCCAAGGATTCATTTCAGTTTCTCACTCTTGGACTGAAAAAATACAGCTAGGGGAAGGAAGGGGCATTCCAGATCAACCCCAAACTCTCCTACCAACTCCTTGTTTTAGGAACATCAGGGTGATAGGAGGGAGGAGGGGAAGGAGGCCTAAAAATAACACCCAGCTTCACCAAAACACCCAGAGCCCCATGCCCAGCATCCTTCGTACGGTGAGGAGGGCGCAGGGAAGCAGCACCTGGCCTCATCGTGGGGATCAAGCTGCAAAAGTGGCCTGAGAGCTTCTTGTTCAGAAGCAGTTTCCCTCTCCCCTTCCCTCCCTGGGCTGGTATGGGCTCGCCGGGCCCAGAGCTGCAGCAGTAGGAGGTTTATTTATAGAGAAGCAGCTAGGGAAAGACTAGTTATACATAGCAGCCTCATAGCTGGCAGGTCTCAGCGCCTAGCTCTGGGCTTTTACAGAAAGAGCAGGACTAAAATGGGAAGTGTGGAGCAGCTGGGGATGATGGGGACACTTGGACTTTCCATCATAATGTGCCTGTAGAGCTGAGTATGGAAGGATGCCAGGGAGAGAGAGCTCTTGGGGCTCAGGGGCTCTGACAAAAGGGGGAATTTCAGGAGTGAAACAAGTTTATCTGACCCAGGACAGAATCTGAGGTGATGGAGATGACCTCAAATGGAGTCCTCCACTTTGAAAACTCCTTGGTAGTTACTGTGCTGCCGAGGAAGTCATCTCCCATTCCTGTGTGTCAGAATCCCTCTTTCCAGGGTCCCCAGTTCGGGTAAGCCTAGGGAAATACCCCCGGAGCAGCTTTTGCCGCAGCAAGCCTCGCCACGCAGAGAGCACTGGCACCAGTAACTCGGGGGGGGGCCGGCTGGCAGCCGTGCAGGGGCACCTTCCCCAGCACAGCCCGGCGCCACCGCGCTGACAGCAGCTACTTACGTTGACAAACTCCTTGCCGTTGTACTTGACGCGGATCCTCGGCTCCTGGATCACGTCCAGGTTGGAGCCGGTGACGGTCAGAGGCGTGTGGCCGCTGCGGAGAACCAGGAGACACCGGATTAATGCACCGGGCAGGAGGGGCTGGGGCTGCGCAGGGAGGCTGTGCTTGACAGTAAGGATGCTTGTTGATCTCAGAAAGATTGTTTTCTGCAGACATTTCAGGCACCAGCGTGGATTAATACCCACTCCCTGAGTCGCTGGGGAGTGGCGTCTCAAGTTAGCTAGATTTCCCACTCTCAGCTGCACCCTCTCCCACCTAACAGCACGGCAAGGCGGCAGGATGAGAAATGGGACCAAAGAAATCAACTGAGCTGAGACTAAATACATAAGACAATAAATTAGTCACGGTGTTTAATGATTTACATAGTGCTGTTTTTAAGGAACACGATAAATGGTACGTGCAGGGAAGGAACTGACGTGCACTTACGTCCGGGCTGCAGACACAGCAGGTTGTCCCACAGAGCAGGGGAGGGATGAAGAGCGGTGCCACCGGGGCCAGGGAGGACACAACCCCCCGGGCTAGAGCACCCCCATCCTCCTGCAGCCAGTGCCCCTGAGCAAAGTCTTTCACTCTTGGCTTCTTCTTTCCCGTGTTAACTGGAGCAGCACAGCCCGGGCTCACCCCGGGCCCCAGCCCCTCTGCGGCAGAGCCCAGCTGCTCCCTGCACACACCGCTGACCACCCCCGCCAGACCCAGCTCACCCCAAACCAGACATGAGCTTCGACTTGAACTCAAAGCAAACGTCTTGCAGAGCCTGCTGCAAGATGCTTCTTTCCAGGGCAATTTAAAAAAAAAAAAAAAAAAAAAAAAAAAAATTGGAATTTGAAATGAATAGTTGTGCTAGAGCCCTTGTGAGCACAACCACTAAAGTCACACCAGGGGATGAGTATGGCCCAGGGTTTTTAGCAGCGATGATGTCACGGTGATGGGACAGCACCAGCCACCCTGTTCCTAGCAGTGAGTCTGGGATAAACAGTACATTTTGATTAGCATCAGCTTTTTCCTTTCTTGGTGGTTGCTGGTTTTGTTTTATTCCAGGACTACAAGAAGGAGCCTTTAATGAGCAATTGTGCACTTCAGCAGATGGAAGTGATCTTGGGGCTTTATTCGTGCTCCCGGAATCTCAGTGCAGACTGCTACTGCTGTAATCGCCTTGGTAATCACAACTACTTTAGGAACTCTGAACCTGATTTTCGGTAAATGCAAACACCACAGATGCCCAGCCCTGACAAATCCAGGATGCTGGGTGGGACGTGCGTTTCCAGATAGACCCTCTTTTGGCATCTCTGAGCGTACGCTGAGAGAGAAGACCCCGGCCAGGCGAGCTGGCTTCTCTCCTGCTGTCAGAGCCTTGCGTTACCTGGCGATGCTCCACTCGGGTTCGATGTGCTGCACCTTCGGATCGTCGATGTACTCAAAGAGCAAAGTTCGCTCCAGCTGAGCCCGGTCCACGCTGACGGAGACATGAACAGCCCCCAGGCCGTGGGTGGATGGGGCCGACACGCAGACGATCTCGTTCATGGATCGCCTGTGCAAGAGAGAATCCGGGGGGGGGGGGGGGGGGGGGGAACGTTAACGGGCAGTCGCAGTGCAGGGGCAGAAAACAAGCCTTTTGTCCTGGCGCTGCCCTGCAGCTGCAGCGGGGCAGGTCACTAAAAGCTGAGCCATCAGTCAGCCCTGACACCTGCGAAGGGGATGAGCTCCCCAGATGAGCAGGAGGGCTTCGCTGCCACGGGAGGGAGGGAACAGAGCTGTGCGCGGGAGGGGACTCTGCCTGCCCACCAAGAGCGAAGCGCAGGCTCCCTGAAATTACTCTTTGTGCCAAACTGCAGCCTCCTGTATCCCTCTGTGAACCCGCTGCCTTCTGTTGGGCGTGTGAAAACAGATGGCTGCTTTTTAAATGGGATGCATAAGCTCACTCAAAAGCCAAATTCTTCCCCCTCCCCACCTCACGGCACACACGGGCCCTTGTGAGCGGCATAATGGAGCCCGCACAGCCCCCACCTGGGAAGGGCGATGCCACCAGCATCGCTGCCTTCCAGCTTTGTCTCCCCGTCAGAGCAGGGGTGACCTCGGCTGCGGCGCGGGCTGGCCGGACACAACAGGCCATCTGCTTCCATCGGAGCCCCGGAGAAAGTCAAGGTGGCAGGGCAGCGAGGCACTGTCACAGCACAAAGGCACTGGTGGGTGGGTGGGTGGGTGGGTGGGTGGGTGGATGGATGGATGGATGGATGGATGGATGGATGGATGGATGGATGGATGGATAGAGAAGGGGAATGAGATCTGAGCGGTGCCGCTTCTGCTGCCGGGACAGAGCTGCGAGGAACCGCACGGCTCTGCAGCAAGCCTGGGTGCTGCTCCTACGAGAAGCGGCACGCTGATGTTGCTGGAAGGGCAGGGTCCCTGCATGGCCACCCCAGGGGTCATCCCACCCGCCCAAACCTGCTCCCGGCTCGCCAAAAAGGCCGTGCTGCTTCCGTGGCTCATTGAGTTTTGGCTTCTCACAGGGGCGAGGGCAGGGAAGCCTTCAGCACTTTGCTGCCAGTTTGGCACTTAAATCAAAAACTGGCACTCTTGAACGTCCAGTCTTTGCCATCCTCACCCTCCTCAGAGGATGCACAACTCGTGGAGGTGCCTGAAGAGCTGAGGCTCAGGTGCAGCCGTGCCCCTGCTCTGCTTCCAGCAAAGCCCCCGTTTCTCTACCAGGGCAGGGGGATGCTGTGTGCTCCCCTTTCCAAGGCCCTTACATGCTCCCCACCCTCCCCAAGCAGCGCGGGCACATCACTCAGCACCAGGCATTTCAGGGGGGATTGAACAGCGGGTACCACCGTGTTCCCAGCTCACACCTTGGCACGCCTGTCCACCACGACCGAGGGAACAGAAACAACCTCTTAAAATATCCGAAACAAACTGGACTTGACTGTTTCTCTCGAGGCAATGACACGTCTAGCCCTTCCCACTCTCCTCCTCCCTCCCTCATCTTGCACTCACTCTCTACCTAGGTTTAGTTTAACCACGAAGGCATCCCTGGGTGAGGAGCACGTTTCTCCACCCTCCCTCCTCGCCGATCCTGGCTGTGCCCCTGCAGCTGAAGAGCTGCCCGGTGCCGGCTCTGCCGCCCCGCGCAGCCGCTCAGCCCTGCCAGACCCCACCGCGCCTGCTTAGCTCTGCCGCGAGATCCAGAGTGACGCATCGCGGCTGGCAGAGCTGCTCTCAGCTCCCTGTGATCAGTTAATTAGCTTTCTGTGCTATTATTATGTCGTCATGGTGAATCTACCCACTCCTCCGATCAGAGAGGGGAGAACAGGGGAAGCTGTAATTAGAGTGAATCTCATTAGAAACTGCTTCATCTAATCAGGCTCCCCCACACCCTCGAGTACAATTGAAGTTCATTGCCTCAAAACAGTCCAAGCAAAACAAAGTGCACAGCGTGACCCCACATGAAGGATGGTGCCATTCATATACTGCCACTTGCTTTGTTTAAGTTTCTGCTTGCCTGCTGTAATTAGAACATACAGAGAACTCAAAACTCATCCAGGTTTTGCAGGTCAGTATCTGCAGGTTGCCTGAATATAATAATATATTTAAGGGATTCTATTACAGGGCTGATTCTGCTCTCAGGCCAGCTTGCAGGCTGCTTCTGCTGGTGGTAATGCCGTTACCCGTGTGCATCTGAGGCAGCAATCTGGCATCTTTGCTTTGGATACGGGAAGAAATGTCGATGGATCGGTTACAGTGCTTAGCACTCGGGGAACTGATCTGCATTTGAAGCCCTCGGCACGTCCAGACCTCCCGAAGCACCACTCCAGGATGGATGTAGAATAAGCGCTGCTAATATCCCAACGTGCTCCCATGTCTGAACGCCCCCAGCTTCTGTACTGGAGAACTTCTCAGCCTTCCAGATGAGCAATTCACCTCCGGGGGTCTTTACTTTCCCAGACACTTCCTCGGGTCCCCCTGGGAAGCCCGTGAGGATCTGAGAGGCAGAATCCCTTTGCACATCACAGCGCTTTGCTTAGGTTCCTGCACAGACTGTGCCCACGCTATGAAATGCATACTGCCAGCCGCTTCGGGGCACCTAGCTATGTCTGGTACAGGGCACGGGTGTGTACGTGATGCACACAGATGTATACCGCATGTATCTTTTTTTAACTAAGCCCCAAGAAAACCCATTAAGCCCTGCAAATGTCAACTCTGTGTTTACACTGCTGGGTAAAAAGCAAATTTGCCAAAGGAGTCCCAGAGGAGACTGATGGCTGTGCGAGTTTCTCAGCAGAAGGCGCGTGCAGGTCCCCGCTTTGCTCTGCCACGCAGAAGCCCACCCCTCGCTCCCACCATTTCCAAGAGGTTGAGGTACCCGCAGCAGCGGCTGCAATAAAAGTAATGCAAGCTGTTGATCCGTGAAAAGAGAAACTAGATCTTTTTTGTAAACATCACATTTTCTTCGGGTCAAACGAGCTGGGGGCAGATACTGATGACAACTATAAACATTTTACAATCGCAGTGATGTTTGCCTGAGATTTTTGGACCAGTTAACATTGTAATGGCATTAAAATAATGGACGGCACTAATATCAACGCGATCCCTCCTTTGCCAAGCAAGGCTCAGTCACAGTAAGAGAGAAGGTGGTTTTGTGTAATAAAAGAGGGAACGGGGACCTTCAGGGGTTCCCAGGTGAATTTTTGCTGTGGCTGGATGTTCAGCTACAGCAGCTACACGGTGGTGCAGCCCTGATAACCAGGACGTGGGCGGCAGGAGCCCGCGCTGGCCCGGCTCGGCCCCTTACCCGTAGAATTCGCAGGTCTGGTTTCCCAAGAGCACCGAGACGCGGCTGCCGGCCCCCAGGTAGTGCCCGGAGATGGTCACCATCGTCCCTCCTGACTCCGGACCGCGGCTGGGATTCAGAAAACTCACCGCTGGCGTCTGGAGAAAGAAAAGGACAAACTGAGCGTTCCTGCGGGCTGCGAGGGGAGCTGCCAGCGAGCAGCTGCCCAGGGGCCGCGCCAGCCGGAGAAGCGCTGTCCCCCGAGCAGCTCCGTGCTTCGGCTGAGAGGGGACAGCCTTTCTTAAATGGAAAAGCAAAACAGGGATGCAGCCTGGACATCTGACAAATCTCCTGCTAAACCTTCAAGCCCAGCTCGGAAAGAGAGATGTGCCACAGCAACGAAACGATTGCCAATTTAGCCTCAGCAAAATGACGTGCTTACTTTCAACTTCGTTCTTAAGAAATGGTAAGCTGTTTGCACCCCGGTTTCAAAAATTAAATACCTCCCAAACCAAGCAAACTGCCACAATGGAAATTTGAACCCAAATGTTCAAAGTTTGCCAATGTGGTACAGCATCAGAGAAGCCCACCAGGGTCTGGTGATGGGAAACACTGCACAACTTCAACAAAAGGCAGCACCATCAGCTCCAGCTTAATATAAACCACCAGTGATAGCACTGTGGGGGCAGAGCCTGTTTCCCATTGCTGGTGGAAAGAATTCCTTGGTGGGAAAACTTAGATCCCACTCAATATTTTATTGGTGATATTATCACAGCAATGCCACGTCTTTATCCTGCCTTGCATGAGGATAGCTGTTTATTCCCCTTAATAGAATCTGCAGAAAGCAGGTACCTCTTTATTTGTTTTCAATCAGTGGATATTACCAAATTGTTTTACTAATGCTTTCACATTACCCTCTTTATGACTCTCATCTGCAAAGGCTGGCAGCCTCCCAGCTCCACTCCCCTGGTACCACCTGCTTGGCAGCTCCGTGCGTTTGTCCTGGTTTCACAATGCAATCTGTGTTTTCTGGGTGCCACAGCATTTGCCAAAGCAGCTTAGACCAAAAACCCGTTTGACCCTAGCTCCTGAATAGACCGGAGAAAAACACACAATCCACCCTGCTGTGGGTAATTATGGAATAATGTTACAGAAGGGAAAGACTCATCCTTCAACTGCTCATGGTCAGCTCACAGCTCTTATCCTAGCTGGGGTCACGAGTTGGACTCGATGATCCTCGTGGGTCCCTTCCAACTCAGGATATTCTGAGATAACCCCAGCTAATGACAATATTAGACAATATGAATGGTAATAGCAATAGTTACACTCAGCAGGCTTGGGAGCATTTCATACAATCAATAGGAGCTATTCCAAAATGCAAAAAACCTCCAACGGATGTTCAGTGTATGATCGCCCATCAAAAAACTCCTTTATTCTCCAGCCCAACCCTGGTGACTGTTCCCAAGGTGAATTAGGAACAAGCTGCAATGCTGTGAACACTCCAGGCAGTGAGAGCCACCCTCCTCCTCCAGCCCCATCCCTGGGGCCCTGCGTCTGCTCCTGGGAGCCTGGGGAAGAAAGGAGCAGTTGTTCAACACGTCCCTGCGGTCCAGCAGTTCCCACACACACACCAGTGACAGAGCTGCACGCGTGCTGGAAAGCACAGCCCTCCTCTGCATTCAAACCCGATTGGAAGCACCTCCTGGTTACAAGTATCTGATGTTTCTGGTGTGAGCATCACCTTGTCTAAGCACTGCAAGCCTTGGAAATTCAAAGCACTGTCAAAAATAGAAACTCAGGCTGTAACCCCAAGCAGTCATTATTGTAAACAAGGAAAAAGCAGAACTGAGGGACCATTCTAGAGACCTGCAAAAACTCCCAAAGCTGAGGTGAGGCCGGCATTGGATGAGAGCCTGAAAGCTGAATAAGAATTTTCCATCTTCAACTCATGATTTGGTGATAATTATGACAGATTTACAGATCCAGAGTAGCTCCAAGGTTCCACCTCCCCAGATAAAACGGGTGTAATTAAGGTGACAGCATCATTCCTGCACGGTGTCAGGCACCAGATGAGCTCACTAAGGCATGAACCCTCTCAGGGTCAGAACAGAGCTCTGCTTTAAGGTACCAATCAATTCTACTACTGACTTTAATGGCATAAACCAGCTGTAATGGAATTTGTGGCGGCGCTAAAGAGAAAAATAGAGGCCAACTAACAAAAGGAAATGATGTGCTAGAAGTTTTAGATGCCTGAGAAAAAGAAACGACATAATCAGGGTAAGTGCTGAAAATCAGAAGCAACAATGCAAAGGATGATAACGGTCGGCATATGCTCACCAGGTTGCTGCAAGGTACTACGCCAAGATTCATCTCTGCAATTACCTTCCACTGGCTCCTGGTTATTATTTAACACAAAGCACGAGAGCATCCTCCTTGTGTCGCACGGGAACCTGCCTTTCAATAATGGCAAATCTGGGCACTATAGTGGCAGTGCCCTGTGACGATCCGAAGGGTTTCTGGCATATTCGAGCAAAACGGGGTGATATTTTGCACCCCTGCTATGTTGTTGAATAAATGAAATCCCTCGGGAGGGCATTGCTTACAATGCTGATAGGGTGGCAGGGGCTAGCCTGATTTATCTCTCAATTAGTTTACAAATTGTGGGCAATTGGTAAGTGCTGGCATTTCCCTGCATACAGATTCCACTAAGCACAAAATCAATGTCGCTGGATGAAGTGCCCTGTTTAGGCAAAACTGGAGATATGAGAAACCCCAGCTGTGGCTTTTAAGTTTATAAATCAAAAGGCTGCTAATTAAACAACAGAAAGAAATGACCCACTCAACCAACAGAAGCCAACCAACCCAAAGAGCAGCTCTCCGTTAAGCAGAGAAAGTCTGCACTGGACCACAATCCTTGGATTGAAAAAAAAAAAAAAAAAAAAAACAACCCAAAACCAAAGCACCCTGAATATTTGGATGCAGAACTACCTTTCCATCCCAAAGGGCATCATGGTGAAAAAAGTAAATCTATAGACACACAAACTCACTCAGGTATGTTTAGGTTTCACAGGCAGTTGATTAAAACTAGGTTTCTAGCAGGACCTCAGTACATGAGCTGCAGGAGGAGGGACTCCGGCGCTTGCTCTCTTGTTGCGTGTTCCTGTGCTCGTGCAAAAAGGCCTATTGGTGCCTGTCTGTGTACGTCTGCACGTATAGAAACATCTTCAAATCCAGGCAGAATCAGCGCCCTAGATTCATCCCCATTAACTAAGCACCAAAGTAGCAATGCCCGTTACAAACACGGGAAAATTTTGAGCGCCGACTCCAACTCCTTGACAACTCCTCAGGCACAAAGTCCTCGGGTACGGGACAAAGTTACGCTTTGTGTAACACTCCTATCGGGATCACAGCAATGCACTTTGCAAGGAGTAACCGAGCCTCGCAATCCAGAAGGTTATCACTGTTTTGGAGGTGCAAAGCTGAAACCAAACGCTGTGGGAACACTGGGTTTAGGTTCCCACATAAACCCTGCTTATTCTGTGGACTCATGCGAGCTCTAGCTCCTGAAAACTGGGCTTGTTGACTGGGCTACCAAGAAATTGTGCAATGCCATGGGGACAGCACCAGAAAAAGACGGCGATTTTGGGATTGCCTTCTGGTTGTTGAACCCCATCCATTTGACACGTGCACTCGCAGAGCACGGCTGATCCCACGGGGGGGGCACGTGCTGCCCCCCCCGCTCCTCCCCGCCTCGACAGGACACTCACCACGAACATGTACTGCTGCGTGGACTTGGCCGTGAACTCCGGCTTGCACTCTCCGATGCACAGGAGCACTGGGCCGGAGCTGATCCCTGGAAGCGCTTGCCCCATTTCACAGACGATCCTGGAAGCAGAAATGCCGCAGTGAGGCTTCGGCAGGAGGTGCCAACACAGCCCTGTGCAGCTCCATGAAGGGCTGGCTTGCTTTTTTCTTCTTTTTTTTTTTTTTTCCCCCCTGTCTTTAACTTTGATATCTGCCTCTTTAGAAGTAGTTAATTACTGAGTCTATTTTTACCCCATGTAGTAATTTAAAGAAAAAAATCAAAATTAGACATAATTATTACAAGCTGTAAACTCCAGAGCAAAGCAGAGCACTAATGGCAATATATTAGCCAGTAGCAAAGTGAGTGCGAAGTCCTTAGAGTAACAGATGAGTTCATTAAGGGAGCAGCTCACACTGCAGTCTCCCAGTTAATCAAAAATGGAGAAACCTGCTGTGATGGATGCGCCCGACCCCTTAACCAAACCAGCAGTGGTTTGGGGCAGGCTCCAAAGGAGGGAGAGGTCTGAGCTGCAGCTGAGCCAAGAGCTCCCCTAGTTTCAATCTGTTCCCTGAAACCCCACGAAGGAGCCTGAGCGGCCCAGGGAGCGCCGGCGCACCTGAGCTGGGCTCACCCAGCACACCATTCACACCTCGACAGCGGGCCGCTTGTCCAGGACTCATTTATCCAGGCACAAAGGCAGCTGGGGGTACAAGGAGTCTCACGCACACCTTTCCCATCTCATGTAATTCGACTGTGAGCCAGCCACTTTATTCCATGAATCCGACAGCCTACGGGAACCTCCTCTGAGCTCTCCGTGTGGGCAGCGTGGTGGGGGTCTCCCCTCGAGCGGGCACGTCTCCCAGGGTGGCTCCTCGAGCCAGAGACACCTCTTACCAGTGGCAAAGCTTTGGTAAGCGACCGCTGTCGTGCATAACCTTCCAGTATGCTGACCTTGGTTTGTGACTTGGTAACTTTGATTTGTGACTTGGTAACTTTGATTTTTGTCTTGGTAACTTTGATTTTGGTAACTTTGATTTTGGTAACTTTGATTTTGGTAACTTTGATTTTGTCTTGGTAACTTTGATTTTGGTAACTTTGATTTTGGTAACTTTGATTTTGTCTTGGTAACTTTGATTTTGGTAACTTTGATTTTGGTAACTTCGGTTTGACTCGGTAACTTGGACTTGACAGATTCAAATCACTCTTCAAATGACTGTGCCATACAGCAACAGAGTGAACCTTGCCACCGAACTTTGTTAAGCTGCAGTTTTACATCATATTAAAACCACTTTTGCTAATATCTTTGACAGAGGTCCTTTCAGCCATCTAAGCCACCCTGAGCAGTCCTTGCGGGGCAGACAGGGCCGGCTAACGCAGAACATACTGATGCTGGTAAAAGAATTAAGTGGCACTAAAAGACTCTGACCTCATGCTCCTCATGTGGCCCCACTCAGCCCCGTGGGCACATCCCGAGGCAGGGAAAGCCGTAAGGACAGGAGTTAACCACAGTGGGCCAGGCTGGAAGGTGGGGAAACCCTCATTATGCACCCTGTGGGCGTGCAATCCAAAAATCCCAGGGCACTGGGAATGCGTAATGCCTACTGGAGAGGAGACCAAGCAAATGCCTGTCAGGCCAGCAGTTCTGGGAGAGGTGTTCAAAGTGGGACGTCGGCTGGCAGGGCTCTCCAGCTGCACCTAACCGGCACGGATGCTGTTTGCTCTCACGGCAACACTGGAAAGAGGAATTCAAGAGCATCCTGCCAGGCACTGGAAACCTCGGGACAGGAGCAACCTGCCTCGGGGTTGGGGGTGCAGTAACGCCAGTGCTGAGACCCTTGTTGGTGTCTGGCTCTGAGAGCGAGACCAGAGGAAGAGCCAGAGCATCCTCCCCCCAGGGGCTTTTCAGAGCGGCCGGGGAGACGCTCGCTCTTCTGCCGATCACGTGCAAATGCATAAAAGGCTCCAATTTGTGAAGGCAGCGTTTCAGCTGCCTCCAGCAGCATTAAATTCACGGCAAATAAAATAAAAAGACTAAAGGAAAAAAGAACCCGCCGACAGCATGCACAGGTGATGCCAGGAGGCCTAATGAAATACATACATGCTAGTAAAGAGCTCTAATGTGAAAGTCTTTATCGCTGCACATCAAACCGGGTTGCTGAGAGAGACGCTGCCTTTGGAGAACAGGAGCTGAAGCATCTCAGCTGGGTGCCTTAATCTGCCACGTGCTCCTCTCTCTGCCTTTCAAGCAGACGTCACCCATGCACCTCTCCCCTCTGCCTGCTATTTCGTTACTTCTCCTCCTGCAAACCGGCAGCAGGGCGAGCAGGCAGGGTTTCTGTGCTGCCGGGCTGCAGGCGAGGGTGGGGGGCTGGCATTTGGGAGCAGTAACCTCTGCCCCTGCCAGCCCACAGGCAAACAAAGCAAGGTGAAGCGATTCCTGACAGCCCACGGGCAGGAGGGGAGCGGAGGTTCGCTCCCACGAGGAGCAGGGATACACCAAGCGCTGTATATGAGGGGAAACACCAAATAATCAACTATTTGCCCGTAAAGCAGCAGCTGCTGTACAGTCCCAGGCATGACGGGGCATGGGACGGGGCACAAGCGACCTGGTACACCTGATCCTGGTTCCTGATAAAAGCCAAATTCCCAGCAGGTACCTTGTTACAAAATGATGCATTCGGCAGAGCTGTAGGGTGTTGATTGCCAGGCTAAGTGGCCCTTTCACCAACATTAACCTAATTGCTGGCTGATAGATTGCGTGGCTGGAGCATATGGTGAGTCATTACAGTCTTGGAATTCAGTCTGCCCACAGAACCCTTAAGAGGGTCCTTTTATCTGTATTCATCTTTAAAAGGCAGCTCTCATGCTAACGCTTGCTGTTATCTGCCCAGGGTAAATGTTTTAATGATGTTAACAAACTTTGAAAGCTCAAGAGCCGTAATTAGAGTCATGATTATAAAATCAGGGTTTCATACCATCAAAGGAAGATAATTTTATAATCTTCCATCCTTTATTTGAAAAATAAAATAAAACAAAATACTGCTCAGCAGAACAGCCCAAACTGCTTGCAGTGACAGTACTACTGGTGCAGTGCTTGGGGCCATTCCTGCGATAACACCAGCGATACTTTGCACGCCCACAGTGCCCTTCACCCAGCGACCACATGGAACACGGACATACTGCACACATCCTCATCCTCGCTGTTCAGAAGGGGTGATTAATGCCATTTCTGTCTTACAGATGGGGGAACAAAGACAAGGAGCGAGCAAAAACCAAACCAATGCCACCGTGTGCTAGTGACAGGTCCCTCCACTATGCTGGGAATCCACCAAACGCATTTCACCACCGGAGGACAACTGGTTTCAGCTCTCCTGGAGCTGGGGCAGATCCACACTGCTGGGACCACTGGTGGGCCCTGGGCTCCCCCGCCCTCACTGTGAGCAGCAGGAGGGATTAGACAACCCAAGGGGAGACAGAGTGCTCCTCTCCTGCCCTCCACAAATGACCCCCAACACACCCCTCAGCACCTTGGCTACACCAAACCCCCCTCTCCCCTCCAAGCAGCAACTGGGGCATGTGCCACTCTGGGAGGTTTATTCGCCCATCCGCTGTAACGTGGCTATTTTCTAATTTTTGGTTGACATTTTTCTTAGTGAAATAAATGAATCGACTCCAGTGGAGGCCCATTCGGATTAAGCGGCTGTCACCGCCTCACCCGCCTAACAAATGGCTGCGTGCAGCCGGCAGCGCTGGCTGAATTTCAAGTGCGATGGGGAGCAGAGGGGGCAGAGAGGCTCAGCGTCAACAGCAAGGTGCTCATCAGAAAAGTTGCTTAGCAAAGCAGGAACAGCGGTGTGGAAGGAAACAAAACACTTAATGAAAGCTTAAAGGGCTGCTTAACCCCCACAGAGAGCACCCAAGCGGCTCAACCCCTTCGGGTGTAGGAATGACATGCTGTGGTCCGGGCACCATCCACCTCCAGACCCCTTCCTGCAGGGTCTGGATGAGTTACCGGCCTCCCGAGCGCTCGCCGGAGCTCAGGGCAGAGGCTTTGTGCAGGCTGGCCAGCCCTGGGGACCCGTGGTGGGGACGGGCGAGCTCCCCGAGGCCACTCACTGTTCTGCGACGACGTACTGCTCGGGCAGGGGCGTGCACTGCACCCCAGCCACCTGCACCCCGTGGGCGATCTCGGAGAAATCCAGGCCCAGGTTCACGCCACGGATGGTCACCCTCGTCCCTCCTTCCGGGGGGCCCGACACCGTCAGGATCTAGAGGGAAACAAAACACAGGAGAGTTTGAGCTGGTGTCCCCACAACACCCGGGCTTCTCCAACCCCGCATCTGGCTTGGAAACAGCTTTGCTTTGCAGGGCGCTCAGGGAGGCTGAGCACCGCAACCTCTACCTGCTCCTATTGCCAAATCCAAGCCAGTGCCACCTTCTCCTGGCTCCTCTGAACGATTTGCAGAAGCCCAAGGATGCTGAAATCCATCTGTGCTGTGCTCCGAGAGAGGACATCAAGGTCCCTGAGCTGGCCAAGAGACGTGGGCGATGCCATCCCCCAGAAAGCCTTGTGGAAGGGTAAGACTGGCTCCTGTTTTCTATATACAGAAGATGGTAAGGTCACCTTCCAGAAGTAGCCTGCTGCTTTGGAAAACTTTAACTTTTGCCTTGGCTGTTCCCTGAACGTTAATGTCACATTTTATTAGTAAGTTGGCACCTCAAATGACTTACAAATGTTAAAGGGTGAGGTGTATGCTTTAAAGCTGCCTGTTTATAGCCTGCCTCAGCCATAATCATTCTGCTTCTATAGACTTTCATTAAGGACGATATCCTCTTCAATTAGGAATATAAATTACAATAATCTATAGTCACCACATTTGGACCCAAGGCTCTCAAATCCTGAATCTACCACCTGTCTGCTGTTGGCTCGTGGGTGAGTTACTAATGTTCCCCATGCTACAGCTGTTATTAATAAATAAACATAATCCATAATAATGCAATTTCATTAATTTAATAGATAAATCTTGTTTACACTTGTTTGTTCCACCCTTGTCTTTGGCAAGACTTGAGCTCTTCAAAACCTTTTCCTTAGCATTTCCGAATGGATGGTTGCCTCTCTTTCACCTTCTTAAGAGCTCGCTGTTCCCTGGCCGTGAGCGGGTTGCAAGGCAGCAAAACACCAGCCCCATCCCGACAGCACGCCCCGGCAACCTGACTGCACCCCAAAGCAGCCCTCGTGGGACCCCCTGTGCTTCCCAGTGCTACGGGGCACGTCTCCCCCCCCCCCCCCCAATGCAAACTGCTAACGCCATCGGAACACCCCTGTTCCCCATCACTTCTGTGGCTCCCAGTTCCCCTCAGCACCTCCCTGCATTTCAAATCCCAGCTGAAGCCACTTGCCTTCTCCTCTGATTACACCTCTTCATTTCTCCCTCTCCATTTCTGCTCCCCTTTAAGGTGCTGCTATTGAATTTGGCCACACGTGCTGGGGTTCAGCCCACTCCACGCACCCAGCAGAGCCATGAGCTGCCCCGTACATCAAACCACCATCTCCTTCCTCGGCGTATGCTTTCATTTCTACTTCCCTCTCCCCTCGACCGCGCCACCGAGGTTTCTAATTTGTTCACCGCACACTGCCTGTTGTGCTGCTGTTTTCTGTAACTCATACCGCGTAGCACGTCTTGTGTCATTTAGCCCCGTGAAGCACTATGTGCCCGTAAAAGACACTACAAAATCAAGTTGCATTGCATTACACCGAGTCCCGCCGGCCTGCACTGGTAACGTTTACATCGCTAGTTGGGAATCACCTGAACTCAGCGGTTCACATACTTGACAGTTACAACTGTCCTCTGCAGCTCTAGATTATGTTAAAATGCATCTGCTGGAGCACTTACACTGCTGGGCTTTGTTGCCTCATCACTGTTCAAAAAAAAAAGTCACAGTTTGCCATTTCCCGACCTTACCACAACCAGTGGAGCCAACGGGCCTCACCAAACAAAGCGGAGCTGAATCTGTATTTTGAAAATGTCCTGACCTGGAAAATCCCCAATATGGAGGCTCCACTCGACCTAGATTTTAGTGGCCGCTAATTGAACAGTTTTGAAGTAACTGTGCCATAAAGCAGCCCCAGGGTTGGAACAGATGCATTCAATTAATTACAGCTGGAGAGATTCAGTCAAAATCACGGAAAGAAGAGAAATCTTAAAGGCCCCGTTGCACCCGGCGCCGGCGACCCCTCCGAGCCGCGTCCCGGGGTCACCCCGCCGCGGCACCTCCAGCAAACCCAGCCCGGGGTGCTCTGCCCCGACCCGCGGGGCTGGCTGCAACGGCAGGCCAGTCTCTGCTCTGAGACCGACAGGGTTAGGAAGAAATATTCCCCAATTTCAAGAAATATACTTCAGTAGAACGGCTTTTCACTCAGAGGTCTCTGGAGGATCAAAAGAACCAGCAAAGGGCAGCTAAGGATAAACTAGGCCATCACCAGGGACTGCAAATTTATTGTTTAGGGGTCTGCACCTCTGCTGGAAGTTTTTTAGGTTGTTTGCAAAACTGAAGCAGTTTAAAAGTCACTGAGATCTAGAGAGGGGTGTGGGAGGCAGGGCCTTTGGTTTTATCATCTCCCGAGTTATTCCGAGCAGGTCACCTCTCCCCTCTGCATCAGCTTTGTCCTGCTTGAAACAAATCAGCAATCCACTGCCTCGAATAAAGCATGTTCCTGCTGCTCAGGGCAAGGATTTATGCACGTGTGAAGCACTGTAGTACTCACAGAAAGGGTCCAAATACAGAGATGAAGTGGGTGGTGTTTGGAGCCTGGTTACCCTTACACTCTACCCTTATATCACATAAGGATTGCAGATGCACCACTGCATTTCTGTTGTTGCTGCTTCTCACCTGAAGCCAAGGTAAGGATCCCAGGGATCCCCGAGGTTGGAATCCAAGGGATCCCAGGGATCCAGGAGCCCCAACACGGTGCTAGCACACTTCCCTCCCCAGCCTGGCGAAGACACCGCGATAGCTGCGCAGGATAAAAGTTCTCAGCCTCACGTCTTGCCGGTTGCATGGTTCAGTGTTTCTGACACAAAGCAATATTTAGCCTCCAGAAGTCTGAGCACGAGACGGGGAGACCTGGGGCTGGCTGTGAGTCGGACGGGGTTTTCCTCCTGGAGCTGGAGGCAAGCCGCGAGCCCAAGGCCGTTCTGCACAATAACCACTTGGCATCTGTTAGGGTGAGGACAGAGCGCCCGGCTTGCAGAATAAATGGCATAACCCCTGCCCCCTCCCAAAATGCCATCCACCTTCACTCTCTTTGTCTTTTTTTCATCCCGCTCTGAGCTAGCTGGATCCCAGCTGATGAGCCCAGCAGGGAACCAGCACATAAGCATTGTCATCCCGGCATGATCCCTCCTTGTCTCTGCCTTAGCTGATAGCACATTCAGAACCTAATTGTTATCTCAGCAGAGCAACTCCATTATTCAGCCTGACACTGCCCCCCCTTCAGCTGTTTGTTGCACTGATGTTATATTAATGAGGCCTGCAAATAAATGAATAGGAGATCACAGTGCCGCTTGTTCGCAAGAAAACTGATTTTTATTTATTTATTGCTAAGACCACAGACCGTGTAGAAGTTTTATGCTGTGAAAGGGACACTGTTGGTGACAGCTGGGCCTCTTACTCGGAGAAAGAAAAGGGCTGTGTATATCCTACTGCTCATTTACTTTTATGACTATTAAAACATGATCTCTTCTTATTAGCTATGCATCCCCCAAAGGCACCGGCGCCTGGGAGCCAGGCCCTTGACCTCCAGCTCGACAGAAAGAGTGAACCTGGCCAAGCGAAGCAAAAGGAGTGGAAAACAGCCCATATTAAAGGCTCTTTTAGTCTAAGTGATCCAGGCTGCAATGCAAGCCCCAGTGGGACCAAACACGGCTCCCCAGTCGAGCGTCAGTGCCGGTGCTCGCAGGATGGAGAGCGTGTCACCACTGCCTGCTCCAAACCCGCCAGGTTTTCTCTGTTTATCCGCCGTGGTCTCCTCCCAGCTGTCAGTGCACAGCTCTGCAGGGCTGGGCGCAGCAAACGGTACCCGAAAGACTCCCCAAACCCGTATGCCAGTAAAAAGGACCCAACGGCAACAAAAGCTGTAAAGGTCTCCTGGTCTCCAAGACAATCTCATCCACTCTTCTGGAGAGGAAGGGGGGATGAGAGAAGTTAACCCGTGCGGTTGAGAGGTTTGGATTTAGGAATATCAACCCTGCAGGATTCCTGTTGGGCTTTGCCATTTTCTGTAGACCTGACTGCTCAAGAACTTATCAAAATCCTGGAAGTTTTTAGCCCTCTACAGTGCCATTCCCACCAGTGGATCTCCAAGCACACACACAAAAAAGGCCACTAGTTCCCTCTGCTTTCCCCTTTCTTTTTCTGCAACCGTGAAAACGGCAAACTTGACTTTCATGAAAAAGAAAAGAAGTTGTGAATTCACAAGGAAAAGGGTGGCAGGTGGAGTTCAAGGAAGAACACCAAACACTGCAAGACCTGTGATAAAATCACAACAGCTCACAGTGCTGCCAGCGTCAGCAGAGGCCACGGGACAGTACGATCCTCCCGAAAGCTGTATTTTCTACTGCTGACCCTCACTGTGGAATAAGCCAATCTGGCAGCGAAAGCACAGACATTTCCTACTCAATTCTCTCCTTTCCAAACACACTCAGGGCAATCTCCTGAGACTCAAAACATCCCCTGGCAAGGCACCCCGAGCTTCCCGCTTTGAAGGCTGAGACACAGACCTGGTTACAGAGACAAGAAATCTGTAACAGCAAAGCTGCTCTTTTCTCCTTGGACAGAGACCAGAAGTATTGCTTTCAAGTTGGACAGTGATAAAACACGCGGTGGCAGCGCCATCCCCGCGGCCAGCCGCGAGAGCCAGCCTGGCAGTGCTCAGATGCAAGTCACTTGGTGGCTGGAGCAGAGTGTTCCTCTTCTCTGCTTATCTCAAGGAGGGGGAAATAAATAAATCTGAGACTTCTTCAGTGTTACAACTGTCTGAATGGTTCATGGCGAAGAAAATCTCAGGCGGAGGTTGTTTTGCTTCTTGCATCTTGTAGCGTAACCTTGTGCAAGCAGAGCAGCACTTGGGTAAGAAAAATTTGGTTTCTGACTACTAGCAGGACAAGGTGAATGTCCAGGCAAGCCTTTAAGGCTCATTTTATCTCTCTGCAAAGGTGGCTATGACTTGCCGAACAAACCAACCCACCAAACAAGGAAAGGACACACTCTCAACATTTCTTAACACTTTCCCATCTCTGCAGCATTGGCACCACCACCCCCGCGCTGCAGCCTCACGAGCTCCACTCTGCAGTTCACAAAACACCGCATAAGAGAAATACCTGCCCATCAAAGCTATAATGTTGCTGGGCAGAAGGTCTGAGAAAGAAATAGCAAAGGCCTGGTAAGGTCCCCGCGGGACGGACGGACCCTCCTCAGCAACATCCTCCTCCAGTCAGCCCCAGCCCTGACACCGCACCACCAGCCTCGGCGGTTTCTCCCCCTCCTCCACAAAAAGGAGGCTGCTGCCTTCCTCCCAGGGGGTCTGAGCATGAGCCCGGCTCGCTAAGCTGGTGTAGAAACTAATCTGAGTTAAGAGGAAACTTCCACATCTACTGGGGTCCTCATGCAGCTGGCAGAACTTTGTGTGCAGAGAGGCCCTGCTACGAGCATCTCTGCAACAGGCTACTTGGATCCACCGCTGTTTTACAGCCATGCCCTCCACCTTCTGCAGCACGGACACATGCTCAGTGCGAGGGAGGATTTTGGGGGGGGAGTTAATTAAGCGAGAAACCAAAATCTTCTTTCATTCCCACCTGATACGAGTGTCACTCTTAATAGTAACGTTAACAGACCAAGTGCAGTTTTACTGGTAAAAATGCCCCTGGGAGACATTTTGCATCCCTCAGTGGTCTGAACGCTAACATCAACTACAGGCTAATTAGATCCCTAGTTCAATTAGCATTCTTGCAACAGTCCATAGCGGTCACCCCCGTGCTGGTAGCAGCGCCGGCGAGCGCCAGCCCAGCACAGCCTGGCCGCGTGCGGGTGGATCTGCACGTCAACGCTGCAAAAAAGCGGCAGGGCATTTCGCTCCCTGGTCTTCGGCGCCGGGTGGAGCGCGGCGGGTTTTTTGGCTGGGAGGGAGCCAGAGGCAAACCCGCGCGGGGCAGGGGCCGGCGACGCGCGCCCTTACCTCGGTGATGCGAGGGTTGGAGCACTTGACGTTCCTGCTGGACCAGTCGAGCCAGGGCTGGGCGGAGGGGGGGCTGCAGTGGGGCCGCAGCGTGCACTTGGCCTCGCCGCTGCACCAGCCGCACTCGAACTTGGGGTCGGCTTTGAGGCAGAGCCCGCAGCTCTCGCGCTGGGCCGCGCACTTGTAGAGGTGCACTGCGGGGAAGAGGGGACGGGCGCTCAGGACGGAGCCCAGAACTGCCGTGCTCATACGGACTGCAGCGGCCCGTGGACTGAGCGGCAAAGGCAGGGGCTGAGTTTTGGCTCAGCGAGCCGCAACCGGGGGGGGGGGGGGGGGGGGGCCACGACACACCCACCCATGGCGTTTCCCAAGCTCAGGCTGCGTCAGCCGTGCTCAGCGAGCATCGCTACCAGTGGAGCAGGGTGAGACGCTCCCATCCAGCGTGGGATCCGCCAGGACCACACCTCTGCCTGCAGCCGCCGTGGTGGCAGCTCTGCCCCAACAGCCGCCCCCCAGCCCCCGTCACCGCCCGCCCTCCCCCGGCTTGAAGGGCAACTCAAGCAGACGTTACCTTTCAGATCCTCCGGGTTGTCGATAACAAAGTTCCCGTTCCAAACCACAGCAAAGTCCACTGCCAAGTTGCTGATGTCCATCCCATCATAGAGATACTGAGGAGAAGATCGAGAATGAAATGCTTGGGAGGATGTATCAGAGACACTGACAAGGAAAAGAAGATGTTTTAAAAGAAACTGTGATTATCCTCTCCTTGAAAACAGGTGCGGATGTCTGAGCCACCACGTTTCTACACTTCATCACCAGGGTCCTGCTTTGACTCCCTCCTCCTCACCAGGAACAGATAATTAAATCAGATCTAGTCCTTGTGAGAGGTAACAGATTAATTATTCCACTCACAGTGGTTGCTCTTGTCACTCAGTCTCTAGCTTATCAATACAGCCCCTCCGGTTAATCAGACTGGAAGGACTGCTGCCTTCAGGCTATCTTCTCATAGAGTCACCATGCACCCTAGTGTGACTGGGAGCTTAAAAATCAACCTGCACAGCTTTGCCTGATGAAACAGGCAACCGCTGAGAAAAAAATAGATGGTGTAGAGAGGTCCTTTCCCAGTCTCTGCTTCAGCCTAGTCTAGGATAGCTCCGGCTTGAATTATTCACCTTCTCATGGACAACCTGGGGGCCATGGCTGAGTGAATCTGGATGCTTTAGATGAATTCCCAGTGCATTCTGAAATTCCCATTATCTCAACTAGCACCAATGAGGCCTCATTCTGATGCCCTAGTCAACCAAGAGCGGCTAGAAAGACTTAAAAAGGTGAGCAAACATTGCCATCCTCTTTGGGATGAGGGAGTGGTGGTTAAACCAAAGCAGACTGCTTTGACTGTTCCTGTGCAATAGTTGTACAGTTTTAATTTACATTTGGTTGTACGGACTCACCTTGCCTGGGTTTTACTAAGTTGGTGTGAAACAAGATCTTCTTTACAAGTGATAGAGCTGTGAGTACAGAATTGCCCTTACATTTTCTACTTACCACTTTCTGCTAGCCTAACAGGAATAAAAGTGCTTCTCTAATGTTTATAAATCGCCTTGGACAGGGAAAGTACTATATAGTATTAATACATTTATTATCCACTGAGCTGCAAGGCCCAAAGATGGCCAGTGATATATAAATATCCAGTGAAATTTTTAAAAATTCAAAACTTCATTAACAATTTAAGACCATCTGCACTGAATATTAAAGTAGACCCTGTTCTGCTGCCTAAAACAAACTGAACTTGCCCTGTTTGCCCACGGACCTCTTCAGATGCACGACAAGGAGGGGAAGGGCCAAGCTCTTCCCTGCCCGTGCTCCACGTGCCGTGTCTGACCCTCGGCTCGGCGGGTGGCCTGCATTTGCCACGCGTCTTGCTGCAGCCCTGAGTACCTGCCACAGTGACTTGGGCTTTCTGGGGTAAAATCCTGCTAGGTCCCTTGGCAGGGCTAAGCCCCATCCCACAGAAGAGAGCTATCCCCCCCTGTCCGCTTCTCCAGCAGCATCATTCAGATAATTTCCCTCTCTCTGCAGCGCTGTGCTCTCTCCCCTGGCAGTTTTCCTTTCCCCCTCCTTCCCTGCACCACGCTGCTTTTCAGCATTACTGTATTCATCCAGCTCCTGTGACCTGGAATTCGACAGCTCCTGATAAGGGGTCTGTGATTTGCCTTATCTCCCCCGTGTGAATTAGCCTGCCTTAACACCTTCCCTGCACTCCCTCCTCCTCCTCCTCCCCTTCCCCTCGCTGACCCCCCACAGTCAGACAGGCAGAAGCCAGATAAAGGATCTTCTCCTGGCTGGCACTATAATGAAACACATCGTTCGCCCACGGCAGGTTCCCACCTGGAATTCAGGATTAGTTTGACTCCAGGATGTTTCACTCTCCCCGTGGCTGAGCCCATCCCCTTCTATTCGGAGCTGACACCCATTTGGGGCACCTTTTTGCCCCGTTCCCCTCCCGGTCCCTCACCGAGCTGTTCTGGCACTGGACGCTGGAGCTGTTGAAGCGCAGGGCGGGCACGCGGTGGATCACGCCCTGGATGCTGAGGACACACTCGTACCCGCGCTGGCCGGACTGGGGCTGGGGCAGGTTTCTCGCCTTCAAGGTGATGGGTTTCACCTCTCCCACTGGGATCAGGATCTCCTCTGTGGGGAAGAGCTGGGGACAGTCCTGGGGGGCAATAAAACAGAGCGGGAGGTTACGGCAGGTCTGCCCCGGTCTCAGCTCGCCTGCTGCAGCGGCAGGGCTGATGCCCCAGCACATCTTCAGCGCGCGGGACCCGCCGCTTCCCTGTCCACCCACGCAGCTGCAGGTTAAGCACAGAAAGAAAGAAACCCCCATTTCAGGCCCCTTGCTCTGGGACCGGCTCTGATTTTCTCACCGCAGCCGCAGGAGGAGCAACAACCGCCACTCGGGGGATGAATCGAAGGCGTCCTCCCCGCTCTGAGCTTGCCGTGGGTTTTACCTGCAGAGCCCCAAGCCCTCGCCCTGCCCTCCCGCAGCAGCGGCAGCGCGTTATCGGCTGCTCCAGCTCCGCCGGAGCCCCGCTGCTCCAGGAGGGCGATGGGCTGCTCCCAGCGCCGCCTCCTAATCCCGTTTCGCTTCTTACACCCCTCGGCCGCGTGCCGCTCCGGAGCCAGACCGATCCGCCCGGGAAGCGCTTTCCCTCTCGCTGCCAGGCACTGTTCCGCTCTGCTTTATCCGAGTGAAATCACGCCAGTGCGCCATTAATTTCCGAGGCGATGCTGATTTCTGCTCTATCTGCTCTCCCCCCCTGCCATGCTCCGACACCTCTGGCCTTTCTGAAACACCCACCCAGCTCGCTGCCCTGCTCCCGCGCTGCTGCTCGCACCGTTTTGCCCTTAGCTGGGGGGTGCCTGGGTGGGTGCGTGCCTCCGCCGGCCGGGTGGGCAAGGCAGCGGGGCCTGAACTGCCCTTTCTATCTCTAAAGCAGCGATTTTCCCTGCTCTGTGCCTCTGGGGAGCGGGGGACATCCAAGGACGGGAGGATTTGGTTGCAGTCAGTATCCAGAAGAGGAGGGATGGGGTTTTCACAGATGGGATTAAGCGCCCTAATCCTGATTTCTGTTTAGTCTGAAAAACTGGCCTTTCCTCTTAGGAATCGTAGCAAAAGGTTTGGCACGTGCAACAAACTCCGAGCCTCCTCCAGCAAACAGCATTTGTGAAGGTCTTATGGCTTTCAAAAAAGTGGCCATCCTTGGACCTGAGGAGCTAATACTGAGGAGGGATCTCTCACAGAGAAGGGAGGACTGAAACAAAATGGGATTAATTTGCACACAACTGTATCTCACAATGTACCAGTGGGGCGGATGCTGGGCTGTGCCCGGAGTGCCACACATCCCTTCATACGCAGTGAAAACAGCAAAATTATCAACAAATGATGGCACCTGCAGATCTCCTGCCGCTGGGTGGTCACCGGGGAGACCCTCGGGCGAGGAGGAAGGCCAGCCCATGAGGTGCCAAACCAACCCCGGGACCTGAGGCACCGGCTCTCGGCCTTCTCCACAGCACCCGTTGGGCTTCAAAACCTTAAGCCTCCAATTCTTCCTGGCACAGGCCCTTCGGGCACCCTGAGCCTTTGACATTAGCCCGCAAAGAGCAAACCCAGCCTGCGCAGGGACCCCGCCAGCCCCACGCGCCGGGGGAGGGTGATGCCCCAGCCCAGCTCAGCGATTCAAACAAACCGGGAGCAGCAGCGGCTCCTGCTGCGGATGAAAACCTGCCTGCACCTCCGGGATGCGACCGAGGGCTGCTCCAGGAACACGTTCTTCTGAGTTAAATGCAAATTCAGAACGATATTACAGCCAGAGCTGTATATTACAGTACTATCAATCACCCTGCCAGGCCAGAGCAAATGCGTTGCGGGAGACAACCAGAAAAAGTGAGGGATGCTGAGCTCCGGGAGCGGGGAGAGGCTGCTCAGTGGGAGTCCGGAGGAGGAGAAGAGAGCGAGTGGGGGGCTGAGACAAAACAGCACAAAGAAATTTCACTTCAGGCGGCTCCTGATTAGGATCTGAAGCCTCTTGCATGAAAGAGGAGATTAAACAAGTCCTGCTCCTGCAACAGCAGGTGCAGTTCGGCTGACAACCGCCAGCCCTCCTGCAGTACGAGGCCAGGCCAGCGGGATGGGAGCTTTGCTGTAACGGCCTCCTTCCTGAACCCCAAAGGCTTCCACAACTGACCTCAGGGCATTCAATAAAGGTGACATTAAATAAAGAATGGCACTCTGTCCTTGATGGCCATTTTATAAACAAGGCTCAGGAGTTCTCAGCCTGAGGCAGTGAAAAAATGTGTAATGGTAGTTCCTTAGTCCCTGAAAACAGCCTGATTTTTGAGTATACAAAATATCATAAAACTGGAAGCAGTCTATTAAATTTTCCATTGAAATTCATGTGAAATATTTCAAACATCTGTGCGATTGCAATAAAGGAGCAAAGAAAAGAGCAAAATGCTGCTGCCTCCAAAACTATATATTCTGAAAACTAAGCACAGCAATTAAAACATTAAGTACAGAGAAGTGTGATTTGTTTCCACTTCTGCCACTATCTGGCCAAAATAATGAAATTGCAAATTAATAGCAAGTTTTAATATTGCAATAGCTCAAGACTTTGCTATTCAAGATGCTGCATGCAAAGTAAAAGGACACTTTCCCTGCAAACATCATTCCACAGATGAGCAGATCTCCAGTTCCCCACGAGCACAAACTAGATGTCTAAATGACACTCTGAGATGAAGTGGAAAAAAAAAAGACCTATCAGTTCCTGGTAATCGTATGACATTCCTCCCATAAGATCTCAACATCCTGAACGTTATCTCTTCATAACACACTGGGAGATACAGTTTTTCCTCAATTTATATACGGGGAACTGCAACACGCAGAGACAAAGGCTCTGACCGTCAGAAGTATTTACATTCTGTTTAGCTCTAATTTGCTTTGATCTAATGGAACTAGGTACCTAAGTACCTGTAAGTATCTGACACTAAATGATTAATCCTAAGCTAAAGTAGAAGTTTTAGAAAAAATGGACTGACATCTTCCTTCCCTCTGCCAAATACCAGACTGGCATCCCAAGCCCTTTGCCACCCTGCCTGGCAATTAAAGTAAATCATCCGGCTGGCAATGCAACGAGAGCCATCCCCGCCGGGCCCCCGCCAGGACTGGGTATCCAGGGAGAAAATCCCCATCTCCCACTAACGACCATTAAGCACGCCAAGCCGCGCTCCCTCTCCAGCTCACAGCCAGACCGATGGGATGTTGTTTCGCTACTGGCTCAGGCAAGTTGTAAATGAGAAACAGATGCTACCCCAGTTGGGAGAAGCCAGTAGCTTAAACTGCTGCCTCATAAACCTCTTTAGTGGTATTTTTCCTTATATATTTTTTATTTTATTTCTAACAGGGACTTTCACGGATTAACAGCCAAGAGTGATTTTAAACTCCAACAGCCAGAAAGCGGGCTGTGCTGGGGAGGAAAGAAAAGCCCTTTTCTGAGCGGAGCAGGTTTATAGGCTGGAAGGGAATGCCACCGTGAAGCTCAGCTCTGAGGTTCCCCAAGACCCCGCTGTCACGGCTCCAACCCCCAGCTCAGCCTTTACACTACCACCGGCAAAATCTCAAGATTTGTGGCATTTTGCACCCAACTGCCAGCTCCTCCGAGCTGACTTTGCACCCCAGGTCCTTCCTCCTCGTTATGCACCACACACCTCTACCACCTTCTACTTCAGATCTGGCTGCGTTTAAGGTTTTGCATTTAACCTCAAAGTCATATCCAGGACCAACAGGAGACAAATGGCTCCGCTCCAGAAAGGTCCCAAGCTCTGTGGAAAGCCTGTGTTTGGGCGGAATGGCATTCTGGAGCTGCAGAATCTTTTATCACATTATGATTGGAAACAAAAAAATCTCCAGTCACCTCACCAGTGGGAGAACCTCAGTGCACAGTCCTGAAAATAATGAATATGTTATGGACCATTATCCTTCCCGGCCACTGCTATTCGTGAGGCGACTGTTAAAGAAAAGCTTTTTCCTTTAGAGACATGGGAGAGGACTTACATTTTCAAATCTGCTCTCTAGTGCTGAAAATGCTGGTAGCAAAAATTGTTCTGCCGTCATTAGAGATGAGTAGGACATAATAGATTTTTCTTCCTTTGGTTTCAGCAGGAGAAAAATGTCACATTGGGATTCTGGTTAAAAAAAGGCACGCAGCCTGTGAGTGCAGCCACTCGGGGAAACACCGAGAAAGGCAGCCCCTCTGTGCTGGCTGACAGCTACAGTGATCACACTAATAAGGGGATATACATTTTGGGATGGAACGATACCTAGGAAGACGTCACGCTACTGAAAGCCCAGGGCCCTCGTGGGGAGCCACGCTGCTGCTGGCGCTCGCTGCTGAATTTATCAGATGAGTGAGCGAAGCTGCAAAAGCTGCGGGGGCTTGCGGGGGGCAGCCCTCTCCTCCCTCCTTGTGCCATTCCCCATCCAGGCTCCTTGCTCGGCTTTGGGGTCTTTTTTAAATTTTAATTTTTTTTTTTTTTTTTTTAAATTGCTGCCGCAGTGACGTACACCCCCAGGCCTTCCCACGGAGCCTGCGCGGGTGGGTCGGGGTCTCCCGTGGGTGAGCAGTGGTGGCACCGCAGTCCCTCGCTGCACACACAGAGTTGAAGGGGGGTGATGCCACACGTAAGCAGCCCTGGCAGGTCGGTTTGTCCATTCACCACCTCTTCTACCTGCTCTAAAAGCCAGTGCTAACAAATATTCTTTTGTTGGGGCCGTATCAGCAGCTTCAGCAATGCCTCCGTCAATGCTTATTCACTTTACAGGAATTCCGTGGTGAACTGGGAGGCGGTTGGCAGCACCAGTCCTGCTGCTGGCAAAGGTCCCCTCGTGGTGGCAAATACCGAGACCATCCCTGGTTTGTAGGTGCTTCCCCACGCCAGTGCCAGGAAGAGCTGAGCATCCAGAAAATACAGAATAAAAGGGAGGCTGCAGCCAGTGGAATATACAATTTGTTCCATAATCAGTTTACTTTGTTTTTTAATTCATGAGAAGTAAATCCTGCAGTGAATTAGAAAGACCATTATTGCCTCCTCTTGCTAAACAAACACATGCTGAATCCTCTTATTATCTTTCTTGACTTCTGTACACCAGAATAAACACAAATCAGAAGATCTGCTGGAGAAAGACAAGACTCCGACGCATGAGTGGCACAGGCTCTTGGGGAATATTCTGTGTATGAAGTATCATCGCACACAATTTACAAAGACATTTTATGCTTCTCCAACACTTTTTAGCCTCAAAGATTCCAAGGTCTATAAATACCTTAAAGATCCACGATACGCATCTGTCTGGAGTAGAACAGAGCACCCATGGCTATTATTTGTGTTTAACAGAGCAGTTTTAGTAGGTCGAATCATCTCGCTCTTAATTGGAAAAAATTGCCTAGAAATGGCAGGCATTTCTTTTGACTACGGGATTTAGTCCAAATGGAGGAAAACATAATGTTTTCATACTTTTCATCTTAAAAGAAAACAAACCTCCACAAATATTATCTTGCTACACATATTTTAAAGTTATAAACGTAAATGAATCTGGCACGCGGATGTAAACCCCTGGCTCACAGTTGTGTTCCCAATGATATAAATTACGGTCCCCGTCACTCATGGAAACACATTATTCTTCATTTCTGCAACTGGAAAGGAGAGCAGACCTTGCTCCTTGGAAACCAAACATGAAAACTGAGGCAACTGAGGTGAGATTTTTCTCAGTGGTAAATTCCTACCCCGAAGCCCTTTTGTCCTGAGCTCTGGGCTGTATGTGCGTGCTGTGACCCGGGTTCTTGCCATTAATTTATGAAGTACTGTGATATTTACAGCCATGCAAAACACAGCAGGCCTGAGAGCCTATTTCTCACCCGTGAACAACCCTTTGTGTACCAGAGGTGAGGACAGGAGCAATTCCCTCAAACACGGCCGAGTTACAGGTGGAAATATCTCCCTCCCGTCCCCTGCAGCTCTGAGGGACACTTTCCTGCAGGGCTCCTTCCCCCTCCAAACACCAGACTCGGTAGGTTATACACACCATAAATCTACTGATGAAAAAAGTGTTGCCAATAAACTCAATCCAATCTCCTCAAATCAAGATGAGTTAATCTTGCTGAAGCTGGACTCTTTGTTAGTAGCGGTGCTTTTTCAGACAAACACATCTCTCCAGAAGTTAGATGTGACCCAGCAAAGCCATTTGCTGACTTTGTTAGACTTAGATGTGGCTCTGAGTTATGTCCTACACATCATAGTTCCCATTCAGGCATTCAACAGTGGGGATTGTAAGGACAGATATGAGGACGGTTGGATTTTGTTTGATTTCCTTCAAGGCACATCAGGCAGGAGTCTGCAACCAAGGGCAGGGCCAGGGGCAAAGGTTTTGCTCTAAACACAATTTGAATTTAAAGGAGTCAGACCAGAGCAGAAATGTGGCTCTGCACTAAACTCCCAGAACCTGAAATGCTCTGTCCCCCTGATTCAGCATCTCACACTCGGAAGTGGCATTGTCTGCACACAGTGGACATCAAAGAGGGATGGGATCCCACATTCTGGGAAATCAGTAGGGTTTATTTGGTTCTAGCTCTCCACTGGGATGGGGTGTAAGAATACATTTATCTATATACATTCCTCTTCATCTGCATGTTTTATATATTTAGAGAGAGACACCTTATAGCCTCACACACACACAAACCCAACCACCACAGACACATTAAAATTATATCATAGGCCTGATCTGAAGCTTTGCAAAGTGAGACAATCAGTGCTACACACCCACGAGGCCCCTTCTTGGAGAAGCTCTGCTTTGTGGGTGTAAGCCAGCTCCAGGCCTTTGTTTTCCCATTGCTCTTTAGATAGCAGTATCTAAGCAGGCACCTTCTGCGGACAAATGACACCTCGGGCTAAGAAAAGACTGAGAAAATAGAGTTGCTTATCTAATTATTGACTCCTAGAGAACTAGCCACCTGGAAAAAGAGGCCCCAAAAGGGCTGGGTTTACCCCATGTCCCACTGGGTGAAGGGATCAAGGACAGCCAGCTCAGTCCTAGAAGACAGCTCTGCTTTAAAGGCCGTGAAGGGTTCTGCATTTATCTACCAACAACTGAAAAGCAAACGGGCCTTGCACACACTTTCACTTTTGCAAACATATCAGCGTGAGGCAAAGCAGAGATCTGGCCGTCAAGGGGCACCTTTATCACTTACCTTTAGCACCTTATCACTTACCGATGGCTGCACAGGCCACCCGCTACCCCAGGACAAAGCTCCGACCCATTGTCAGAGGCTGCATCAGCCGTGCCCGCCGCTGAGCTCTGCCCTTAGATTTGAGCAAACAATTCCTGCTGACAGGGCAGGCGGAGGGACAGAAAAAGCTTGTTCTCTCCACTGTATTTTCATGGAAGTGGGGCGAAAAGGCAGCATTTAGCTCAATCAATGTGACCAGAAGATTGCAAGGAGCAAGTATACAGCTCACGCTTTCCCTCATCACCTTGGAAAGCAGCTGAGACTTGGAGCTCCTTTCCCTTCTCAAGACAGATGACTCCTAGGAGCATCAAAGGGAGTTTGTTACACATCAAATCCCACTGGGACACAAATTCTGACGGGCCAGGAGTAAAAGGGAATATTCGAGATATTTTCTCTTAAATTAAATATAATGGTACAAGAAAATTTCCAACCCCGTGTGAACACGCGTGCAAATCTTACACGAGAGGAGGCACATGGGACTGAAAGTAGGGCAGCGCGCGCCGGCGCTGCTCCCTCCGCGGCGGGGGCACGGCCACCGCTGCCACACAGCCGGCCCTCTGCTAGGGAGGGAGCGACGCTGGAAGGCGCAAACATTTTGCTAATACATCAATGAGAACATTGTGATCTGAGCTGTTTTAAGAGAGGAAACTCTTTATGGGGCATTTATTTCACGCCTTGTGCTAGCCGGAGTGAAATGCCCGTAACAAAGGCGTTAGCGCTGTGTACCCAAGTGGCAATTCATTTGCTTTAAACAAGCAAACGAATTAGGTTTTGGTGGCTGGTTTTGCCTGTGTGTTGAGAGGGGTCTGGAGAAATCATGATGAACGGTGGAGCACCTGTATCGTTATTATCAGCCCTTATCAAAAGTAATCAGCAGGAAGGTGTTAGATATCACATAACATCCCCTGGGAAGAAACAACCTCTACACGATGAAGACAACAGAGGAAGTTCTTTGGAGACATGACAGTCCTGTGATCCCAGCAGGAACTGGCAGAGATACCAACTCCTCCACTCGCTCCCTCTGTGTGATCTCAGGCAAGTCCTGTGCGTTCCCAGGAGAAATACAGAGATAATGGGGTTGTCCTACTTTACCAGAGACTTGTCAAACACTTCTGAGATCATGGGGTTGAAGACCTATAAAACCAAGAACTACAATTGTAAAGCCTGGGAATACAGTGATGATTTGAGTGTGAAGGAGAAAAAACTCCACATCACTCGAGAGAAGGAAAAGCGAAGGTTTTTGCTTTCTCTTGTTATGTTGAAAGGAAGTTCCCTGACTTTGACCTGGCCTGAGAAACCTTTCGGTTTGTCCCCAGGGTGGATGCTTCTCCTTGGGCACCCGTTCCCTCTGCGGCACGGGGCAGCTCTCGGATGCTGCTGCCTGGCCCCTCCTCGCCCCTGGCAGGAGGCAGCGCCTGCTCCCGCTGCCCACCCCTTGGCTCTTGCAGACTCCGGCTGAGGTATTTACACATGCAGCTCGCCAGCGTTTCTTGCCTTGTATCTGTGTGCCTCCTGGAGCATTTTAACCAGAAAGATCCATCAGTTAAGTTCCAAGTTTACTAGTGGTTTAGCAGCAGCCTGCAGCTTCAGTCACTTCTTTTTAATGGCTCAGTGTTTTACTCTACTGACCGATCTCTTCTGCTTCATCTTTATTACTCACTGATAAGGGTTTATCTTGATGTCGACTAACCTTACTCTCCTTTCTTTTCCTAGTATTTGTATATGTCTTCACTGCTGCCCTTTCCACTTCCCAAGACACTCAGGATTTTCAAAGCACCTTTTAATCCTTTTTTTTTTTCCCCCTTGCAGCTTTAGGACCTGCACTTCAGGTGCTACAAAGCTATGTGTAGGGGCAGTAAGGGCAAAGACCAGGACCCTGCCAGCATCAGAGGCTGTATCTGCTCTGTACTTGATGAACCTGAAGCAGGCAGCAGCATGGGAACCAGACAAGACAACGGGTACAGAAACCCCAGACCAAGGGGTTAGCGGTAACCTTTGATCAGGAATTCGTGCTAACCAACTCCTTCCCTCCACGGATCCCTCCACCTCGGGACATACAGAGGATCTGGCAGAGCTGTTGACGGGCTATGCCTCCCTCCTTCCAACTGTTAAAAGCATTTTTGGACTTGAGCCCCACACCTTTTATTAACTGCTAAGAGAGATGGCTCCTGATCCACAGTGCTGGAACCTGAATCGATTCTCTTTTCCAAAGTCTGGGGCTGTTAATCAGTTCTTAATCAGTTTACAGTCAGGCTCTTGCCATAGATTTCAGACCTGCCAACACAACTCACTGAATAAGTCCCACCAAGAGCTCTGCATCCGACTTGTTGCTTGCCATCAGGCAAATCCCTGCACGCCTTGTATGTAAAGCAGAGTTGCTGAAATGTGCTGGTCTTCAAGGAGTGGTTGAGACCCCTGAAGGAAAGCACCACAGCAATTACACTTATTACTGAACCTGAGCATACCCACATATCAGAAGTGGGATCAGCTTTGGCATTCAGGTCGAGGCACATCGTTTTTGCTAAACTGACACTTTCTTGCTACGCTCCTTTAAAGCGGTATCTGCACTTTTTGATGCCAGCCAAGAAAGGAGCCCCGACCCATGGGAAGTTGAAAAGCCTCACACAAGCATTGGTTACGCTCACCGTGCCATAGAAAAGCAAAGAGCAAATAGCTCAGGAGTACTGAAACCCCGGTCTGGTACCTCAGAGACGTTGATCCGTCCCTCCTGAAAGGAGCACGTGGTGGGGTCGTGGGTGCAGAGGTTCCGGTACTTGCACCAGTGGCAGCGGAAAGCACTGTTCACACAAGACAGGCACCTGGGGGGGGAAAGGAGAAGTTACGGAGGAGGTTATCACCTTGGGAGGTCTATATGGTAACAGACAGGCCTGGCCAGAAGTCCAGGCTCGGGGTCCTTCATGGAAAAGCAATTTCTTTGCATGGATGTTTTGGTACAACAAAAGTAACAAACAGGTTTGGGAAAACACACGCAAAAGAAAGTCTTTAAGCAACCTTACAATTCATTCAGTAATAAAATACAAGCTGGGATTTAATGTACATCATTGCATTGGCATAGCATAAAGCATAATATTGCACTGACACCAGACTTGATTTTTAGTGTTTAGAGAGTGGAAAACAAGACAAGCCCAGCAAAAATTGGCTGAGTTGTTTTACAAGTCAGGAATGCTTCAAGTCAGCGGTAACACTTCTGCTTGGCCTTGGAGTGCAGAGTCCAGCAAGTGCTTCTGATTCATGTTCGAAGAAATTAACTGTTTATGAAATGTTTGTGAAAGAACGCAGACCCTTTTCAGACAGGGGGGTGGCCCGGCTGCCAGCGAACTGGCTGGGTGGTTTTTATTCCACACTAACTGGCTGCCAGTTAGATGCCCGGTCCATGACAGCTGCTAATAGTTGCAGTACCCACCTCCTCCATCTCTGAGGCCAACCCCCCCCCCGTGCCACGTGGCAGCGTTTTAGTGACCGTCTGCTGGTGTAAATATGAGCTGTGCCCATGGGATTCAGCTCTGTGGTGTAACCTGCTGCCTGGAGCAGGGATATGCCAGGGCAGGGATGTGCCGGAGCGAGCTCGGGGTCAGCACAGACAGACGAACATCACCAGGGAAGCTGGAACGTGGCCTTGGGCAGGAAAGTCTGGAAAATGAGGAAAGCAGGTCTCGGGGGAGAGGCATCAGGGCAGTGCCCCTCACAGGCTGCTGCCACGAGAACGTGTGTTTTAGTAACTCAATTGTATTTTCCTTCTAATGCGTTTGCAGTGACCTTAATAGCTAAGGAAGCTTATTCTAATCACGCACGTGCAAATCTGGACAAGAGTATCAAGTGCTGCAAGCTTATTTAATTACTCGTTTGTTTGACCCATTTCTGTCTCCCTTTCGGTCTGCAGCACTCCTCCCACCACCCTCACCTGGCCTGGCCCTGGCCTCCAGCTCTCCCATCTGGTGCCGGTGGAGCTCTCTGCTTCCCCCAGCACGGCTGGGCTGAGGGAGGAGGATCTCTCTGATTACCCAGGCCAACGGCTTGGCTCGGCACCTCTCGCTGTGCTGTGGGTTTCTGGCTGGTGCTTTCAGCTCTGCTCAGCCCTGGGGAGGGTCCTGGCAGGATCCTGAGCTCTCAGAGACCTACGCCAGGTCACCACCCTTGCTCTTTCATCCCAATCCAGCTTTCTTAAGGACCACTGTCTCTCTTCTTCAGAAAGTGCATCTCTCTACCTCATTTCTTCCTTATCAAAAGGGACTTAACACAGAAGCCATCACCATGTTCCCCGACCCACCTGCAGCTCCCTGGGGACCCAGGAATTCATGCACCTGAGCGCGCAACCATCTCAGCCCGTGGGTTCACAACAGCCGGATCCAGCACGGGAGGTTTCGCAGAGCCAGTCTGCAAAAGCAGCATGTTCCTGCCCAGCCCCAAGCCCCTCCTGCCCCTCTTAGCCCAACGCCACCTCCCAAGGGGTTCGTGCTTCCCACACCGCAACCACGTCTGCTGCCACGCAGCCACCGCGGGCACGGCGGCTCCCCTGCTCTCTCTAGACACCCTCGCCGCTGCGATGAAGAGGCTCAGGACCAACAGGTCTCTCTTCTCCACCGGGGCTGATACCTCTAGTCCTGCCTCCTTTTTGCACGCTGTGATTCATTCCTGCCAGGCTGGCTCGTGCCCTTGTTGAACTCGCTGGTAACGAGTCCGGTATGATGTAAGCGCTGCAGAATTTACCACCGCGTTAGCACTTTTATCTCCAAACACAAGCTGGCAGAAAGGCATGGTCAGATGAAGCCAATTGACAGGCCAGAAAAGATGCATTGCCTCTCCCGATTCAAACCTCAGCTCCTAAGTGAAAATAGGGGTCCCTGTGATGCCACCCCCCATGCAAATTCAAAACCAGGAGAATGCAGAGGAAGCGCTGGAGGAGGGGCTGGTGGTGTACAGCCTGACTGAGGGACAAGGACTGGAGGACAAAGTTGTGCCCAACAGGAGTCTGGGATCGTGGGGGTAATGGATACAGACCACCATGGGAGGCAGCGTGGGGGGACTGAAGGGTTCACAGGGCTCCTTTCATCCCAATACCTCTGCTCTCTGCTGTGACTCAAAACAAAATTAAAAAGAATGCATGCCTAGAAAAGCTGCAGGCTAGCTGAACCCATCAGCGCACACAACCTTCTTCCAAGTGCAGCAGGGGAGGGCCAGTAGCTTCAGGCTTCAAACCCAGTGCAGAAAGTCTGGGGGTGACCCTGTGCTGGCACTCCTTGACTCCCACCAGCCAGCTCGAGCAGCACATCACGCTCCCAGAGCAAAGCTGGCAGCTGAGCCCTGCCACAGGAGATGCTGCCCAGCCCTGTGGGTCCGGCCTGCCGTTCACTAGCCAACTTCTGGCAAGTCCTGCCCACATTTCATTTTTGGTGCTTTAATGCTTGTGCTGTTCCCAGAGAGAAATCTATAAACACTCCAGGTCTGCAAACGTGTTTTTAAGGCCAGCCAGCTGCGTGCTGCCTTCCAGCAGCAGATGTGCCCATGGCGGGGGGACACGTTTCCACGATGCTCAGCAGTGCTGAGCCCCCCCAGCCCTGCTGCCGTGTCGGGCTCTCGGGGCTGCTCTGCCCAAGCCCGGGGACAGGCAGGCTGCGAGGGGCTCCTGCCGCCAGCGCTCCTGCTCATTCCATCTAAAATAAAAACCGACCCCAGGGCTGGAGATGTCCAGCTCGGCCCCAGCCGCCGTCTCCTCTGGCAGCCGTGCCCTCCTCTGTCACCCCGGGGAGCATCTTCGCAGCAGCCAGCACCCCGCTGCCCCGGCCAGAGCGGAGGGGAGGGCTCTGCCTCCCCCGGCTGCCTGCGAAGATGCATCCAAGTTCACAGTTGCGGGATTGCGCAGCTTGGGGGCACCAGCAGGTTAATGTTTTGTGGTTTTTTTTTTTTGTTTTGTTTTTTTTTCAGGCTCCCTCCGCCTGCATCTCACAAGGCAGAGCGAGCCGCCCACGCACCCAGAGAAGCGCAGAGGACAGGGTCTGGTGAGCTCCCCTTCTGCTGGTGGGCTCCCCTTCCACCGCACGTGTCTGCTGGCTGAACCAAGCAGCGTGACACACCCCCCCCCCCCAGCCCCAGGCTGGTCCTGGAGCCCAGCATCCATTTCCCAGCCCTTTCTCTTTTTAGCCACTGTTTGGTTCCGCTGGGGGACAGGGAGGGAGCACTCACAGCTGGTGGGCACTGCAGTTGTAGAACTTGAACTCCGTGCTGACAAATGTCCTCCCGGTCTCCCGCGACTTCAGCTGCAGCACCACGCCGAACCAGTCTGGGGATGCAAACCAGAGCCCGTCAGTCCCGGCAGCAGTAACGAAGGAAGCAACAGCAGACGCGGGGGCACCCGCTCCCCGCCTGCCAGCGCGCTGAGCCATCTGCTTCGGGGGGTAGAAGGTGGAAGCCAGGTTGTTTTTGTCCCCCTGCTTCCCCCGCCGTCAGGACCCCCACCTGCGGTGAGCCTGCAGCAGGTCCCCAAGCTGGGGGCTGAGCATCCCCCCGGCTGGACGATGCCCTCCAGCACCCCAGGGTGCTGGGCTGGCTGTCTCCAGCAATGCCTCCAAACCAAATCAGGCTTGGTGGCAAAATGCACTGGGGACACAGCGTCTAAACGTTGCCCCCAGCTGAACTGATTTCGGAATCTCATCCTGTTCCCTAAAGGATTCTGTCTCCAGTATCAAAACACTAATTCGGTCTACTCCGAGCAGCAGCCCAAGACTAGAATAAGAGACAATGCTGGAAATGGGGGCACTAGTGAAGCTCTTTAGTAGCCTCAGCGCTGAGTTAATTAAGAGCAGATTGCTCTTCCGGAGCTGCTGTGGGTAAGTCTACCCTAGCCCCACTGCTAGAGCAGCTTTCGGTGCCCAGCATTCACCAAGTCTCAGGCTCCAGCTAATGCCTTAGAAACACAAAGATGTCAGCAGGGAAGCACAGTTGACACCTGGAAGGATGCCAAGGAGAAAATGAGTTTTAAGCAAGTAGCATTTTGGTTATGGGAAGAAAAATATATGACAGCAGTGACATTAATGAAGAAACAACCCAAAGTTCAGGACCAAAAAATAGAAACTGCATCCACCTACTTGTGGGTGCTGAGCCAGGCCGAGGGAAGGGCTCCTGCTTCCCAGATCCTCTTGGTGTGGCAAGGCTGTGAGCCCCTGCCCCACTCGTGTCACCCCGGGGGGGACAGCCGGCTCCTGTCCTGTCCTGGGGAGCTGTCTGGCAGCGCAGGGAGGGCCTAAGGACAGGGCAAGCACACGGTGCTGCCTGCCCCCAGCCTACCTTTCCCTGTGTGGGATGCATTTCTTAAGGACAAAGCATATTTAGCTCCCTGGGTTCAAGGGTCTTCGACAGGAGCATGAATTTCTCCAGCGGCAGCCCCAAAGGCTCTGCTCCAGCCAGCAGATGCTTCCAAACCTACGCCGCGCGTTCCGCTGGCACAGATGCGGTCTTGCTGCCCAGAAGGCAGCTACTTACCCTGATCCACAGGTATGGCAGGAACATCCTTCGCTGCTGGCGAAACACACACAACCCGGCTGCCCGAAACCTGCCCTTCCACCTCCGTCAGGTTTCCGAAGAGGCAGGTGACGCCGGCCGCCAGGTCCGGAGCATCGCTCACCAGCAAGCTGAGCTGCAGCCGGCGAGGGGAGAGGCAGAGGGGACACAAAAGACAGCCAGAAACCTGTTAGCAGGCAGAGCTGCCCGAGCTTCCTTCATATTTTCAGTACCTGCTGTTTTCCCATTCAATACTGACCCCTTAAATTACCCGTCCGCCCACAGGAGGAGGCCAGCTGCCCTTTCACGGGAAGCGGAGGAGGAAAAAGAAAAGCCAAGAACGCGGGTTCCTCACCGATACAAAAACACCTTGCTGAGCCCTTGGCTACTGCAGTTCAGCAGAGGTGGCAGCGGCAGCTTTTTGTCTCCCCGGTCGCTCTACAGAAGCACGGCCACCCTCGATGCCCACGTCGGGAACCGTGCACGAGAGCAGCAGCGACTGCCCCAAAACCCCCTGCACGCCCAGCAGCCGCCCCGCTGCACGCCCGGGAGAGGCAGCCCTGCCCCGGGCACGCGTGCCCATTGGAAATAACCAGCTCCCTGCTGACCCCACGGCACAAACGGGGACCGTCCCCACAGCAAACTGGTGCCCGAAGGGGTGAGCGGGCTCCCAACAGCCCCACGGCGTTTCGGGCGGGGAGCGGGAAGGGGCTGCAGCAAGGCCAGGTGCCTCGGGGGGCTGGGGGGCTCGGGGAGCAACAGCTGGGATGCTTCAGGGAGCCAGGCCTGAGCGCAGCTCGCAGATGAGGTTTTTGGGAAACAAAGCCTTTCCTTTCAACAGCTAATGAAACCGGACCAAGAGAAATGTGAGCTGAGGCCCAAGGGGAAGGGGAATTTATTTCTGCCATCCCCACCCCTTTCCTCCCCAGTCCCTCTGCGAGCCTGACTTCATGAGAAAACATGTGTGCCGATGGGAAGGGAGAAAGGCCGGAGGACGGACTGTGACCCTGAGAAATGCTGGAAGTGCCTCTCGCCGACAGGTCTCCCCCTCCCCGCTTGCCGGCAGCACCTACCGGGAGGCTGTGCTGGGAGACGGAGATGCTGCTGGGCTGCACCGTGACGCTCATGCACTGGCCGATGCTGCCGGCGAATCGGTACGGCTCGTCGGCTCGCTCGCAGCTGTCCCGCGGGGAGCACCTGCGGCACGGGAGCACAGCTCAGAAAGCGCCCGGGGCCGGGGGCAAACAAACAGGCCCGAGGGGCCACCGCCAAACCGGAGGGCAGAGCCCCGGCTGGGGAGGGGGGAGGTAGCAGCAGGGCCGGGGGTGATGCTCTGCGCCGGCACCAGGCGTCGAGCACAGACCCCAGGGCGCTGAAAAATTATTCTGTGAGAGGGGAAAGAAAAGCCACAACTACGTCACAAGCGATTCCCAGTCCCTCCTGCACCGGGACACGATCCAGAGGTACCAAGTGTCAGCGGGCGCCGCGGGTGCGGGGCGAGCCAGGCACTCCGACGCTGCTCAGCTGGGGCCCTTGCAAGCCATAAATTCATCATCTGCACAGAAACTAAACCCTAAAGCGATAACAGGCAGTAACAAGATGATGCCTCCACTCTAATTAAAATAAAAACACACAGGTAATTTATTGTCCCCCTCCTGGAGCCGAGGAGTGCGGCAGGGCCAGGAACAGGACCTCCCGGCAGCTGCCCGCTGTGCTTCGGCCGCTTTCCACGCCTGGAGCTCGCAGGTCTCTCCCACTCCCACCATCAGGAACGCAAAAGATCCGAGCGTGCCAAAGCGCCCAGGACTGCTCCTGGCTCACCGCGTGCTCCAGGATGGTTCCTTATCCCTGTTCTCCTATTGCGGGTGTCCTGGGAGTGGAGTGAAATTAAGTTGCTTCCAGGAGCTAGAGGAGCGCCCACCGAGAAACCAAGGAGGAATTATCAGTGTTTGCAGCACGGCACTGGCATCCCTCAGCGACTTTCTATTTTATGTCATTTGGGGAAAATCCTTTTCTTCTAACCCCTCCTCCCAGGGCACAGATGACATACTGGCCTTTTGGTATTAATGCTCTTAATACGCTAGCAGCAAATTTTATCACTTTTCACTCGTTGCTGATCTTGGACCTTATTTCAAACGGTGGCGCAAAGGTCAGGGGATCGAGATGCTGTCACCAGCCCCACATGCCACCAGCAAGTTCCCTTCTGACACTTACTTGAGTGGATATGTTACTTGAATTAACAAGGTGCTGCTGTCAAACTGCTTGTTTTCCCGGTTCCCTGTGGAGCGGCTCAGGCGGTCCCAGACACACACACACACACACAGCAGCAGAAACACCTCCTGCCCATGCGGAGGCTCAATTTTGCCACACGCACACACCGAGCTCTGACCCCTGTGACAACCGCCTGGCAAAGCCAGGGCCTCCTGCTCCGACGCCGTGGACCACCATCCTCCCCACGGGGCCATTTGCTTTCGATTAAGAAAAGCGGAGTTTACACTTTCCCTCCCCAAATCACCCGTGCGATCCCTGGCAAACGCTGGCACTGTTCTCCTCACCCTCTCACTTTTTTAACCTTTTTTTTTTTTTTTTTTTGGAGTATAATGGAGCTAAATATGAATGCTGCCAAAGGAAGAATTATTGAGGTTTAAGTGAATCTGTAAGATAGCTTTAAAGTGAGCTCTTGACTGGAGCCTTTATCTCATTGACTCGCTGGAATGGCTCTTTTTTATCATACTATTTATGGCAACAGCCCTAACAGAGATAAATAGGTCTGTAGACAATAACACACTTGCAGACAGCAGCGTATGGAAGTCTTGCAGGTTTCAAATCCCGCTGGGCTGAAGAGACTCTTCAACACTCTCCTCGAGGCCCCGGCGTGCTCCCAAAGAGCGCTGAGTGTAGGAGAGGAGCAGCACAGGACCCCGCTCTCTCGTGCAGGGGATGAACTTGCGTGGCAAGCAGACCCCCAGCCGGGAGGACACGTCGCACTGCAGCTCCAGGGTGCCCGGGGGAGCCCAGCAGCTCTGCAGAAGGAAGCCCCTTTCCCCTCCTGCTGGTTTTTAGCACCTTCTCAAATGTCCTGCCTCCAGGGCTCCTCAAAGCCATGTGCAAGGCATGTGCTGCCCACGGCCACCAACTCCTCAAGCTCCTCTTTTAGGGCAGGAGTTACCCCTCTGCTGCGGCTGCCTCCAGGTCCAGGTTCATGGGCTGAGCTGCCCCGCTCGGGCTGAGCTGCCAGCGTGACCGACCAGCTTCCAGAGCTCACTGATTTAATCCTCACCGGCAGCTCATCCGTGAGCATCACTACTATCACTGCTCTTAAATCCCAGGTACGCACTACGTGTACGCAAGCACCCCACTGTGCAACAGAGCCGTAAGCCCTGACTCAGGCCCTTAAGAGACAGTAATACATAACGAGCACACAAGGAAACTTTATGTAATATTGGCTGATGAAAGCTTATCCCAGGGCAACTCGGATCCTTTTACTTTTCCTTTATTATTCCTCCCTGGCTGGTGGCACGGAAGGCAGGACATGTTGCCTGATACCAGCTGGAACGGGGCAGTGGTCTAGTTCATCTATCTCACATCTGTACCTGTTCAGACATCCAACACATCATTTAAAATCCTGATTTGTTTTCTGGCTCCCTGATAGCTCGGTTACCTGCTCTCAGCTAAGCCTCTGTCAACTGCAAATGTGGGTGCCCCGTGCCCTTTACAGCTCCTCCACAGGGCACAGCTCTTGCACAGAGTCCCTGAGCTGCCTGGGGGTCTTGGCACCCCCGGGACACATCCCCCGAACCTGGGAAGGAAGACCTCACAACAAGCAGCGCGGAGAAACAACTGGAATTCAATCTCCAACTGGGACTCAGTGCTAGTGTTCACTATACCCACGCTCGCCCAGGCCACCGGCCCCTCTCTTGCTCTTCTAAGGACAAAACCGTCTCCTCTCCTGCCCCTCACCCTTTTCACCAGCCCTCAGGAACCACAGCCCGAGCATCACCCTGACCCCCAACCCTTCCACCGAGCAAAGGAGCAGCTGGTTCATCTGGCAGGAGGGAGATGAAAGAATTAGAGGAGAGAGATGACAAATTAAATACAAACACTCCAGTGCTTGGGGCCTCCAAACAAATATGACAGAGGTTCCAGGAACAGCAAGATAAACTCAATTATTTACAGCTTAAGACAAAAGCTAAAAAATGATCATTGCTCCAAGCAGGCCAGGAAAGTGCAGACACTTGGAGGGAGGGTTGAGAAACAGCATCAGGGAAGAAACTCTTGTTGGGAATAGGTTAATGCTGAAATGTCACGGCCAAAAGGGCAGAGGAAATGACACGTTTCTCTCCTCTTGACATTGAGGGTTTTCTTTCTGCAAAATGAAGATAACAACCTTTACCTGCTTCCCAGGTGGTTTATGAAGACTCAGTTCATTAGCATTAGGAAAGCACTCGGTGATCCTTGCAGAGGAGCTGCTGCAGGAGCCCGAGGAGCAACACCAAACACCCCTCGCCCCAGACGCCTAACGCAGCCGTCCCCTCCTGCCGCACAGCGCAGCCCCCCCCCTCCCCGGCGCTGTAAGGTCACTGTCCCTGGGGGCAGATGCTCTCGTACCCCCCCAGCTGGTTCTGGGCAGCACCTCAGGCCAGAGGCTGAGCAGAGCACGGCCCTTTTCCTCGCCCCCCTCCCTGTCAAAAGGCTGCGGTGGCTTTTGTCCCAGCCACGTCCCGAGGGAGGAATCGCCAGGGATGGAGATGGCTTCCTTCTGCCAAAGCTGCTGTGACAGTTTTGGACACAACCGCACACACGGTGGGTTAGCTGTCAGGCTGGACAGGCTCGTCTGAAAGGAAAAAAGCTAAAAAATAAAATAAAATAAAATGAAATACGCCCAGGGCGCCTGTGTCCCACGCCGTGCTGCTGGCGGGGGCCGCTCTGCCCCGGCCCCCAGCCCCGGCCTGCCTGGAGCCCGCGGGATGCCCGGGGCCCGCGGCCGCAGGGGGTCTCCTGCGCGACCCCCCCCGCAAGCCGCGGGGAGCCAGCCTGCACCCCAAAGGCCACAGGTCCCCGAATCCAGGCCGGATTTGCGGAGGAGCCTGCCGTCCCCCGCTCCAGCACCTGCTCCTCAGGCAAGTGGCCAAGTGCTGCTGTGCGGGTCCCTGAACTCTGCCTCCGCCCCGATTTCCATGCATCTAACGGGGCTGCTCGGCAAGCTGGCACGCGGCCGGAGGGATTTCTATTCCTCTCCTCCCGCCTCCCCGAGGCTTTCCCCTCCTCCCCCGATGCGCCTCTGCCCGGTGGTCCCCCTTCCGCCTTAGGAAGTGATCGTTATTATGGCAGGGGAGAGAGAAAGGAAGGACACGGACACCTCCTGAATGCAGAGAGTGTTTCCTGGAGCTCCCCTGAAAAAAAACAAAAAAAAAAAAACAAAAAAAAACCCCAAACATCCTTTGTGCCTGCTGGTGTGCGTGGGGGGGGGCTGCCAGCTCTGAGCCCTGTGCTGCCGGCTCTGCCTCGTCGGGGACGGCTGCTGCACAGACCCTCTGACCTTTCCTTGCAGAATTTAAATATCTCTTCCTGATACATTTAACAGGGCTTGGTGCTCTGCTCTGTTCCCGTGCCGTAACTTCTCTGAAAGCAAAGTCCCACTCATATAATCAAGTCTACCATTGCCTTTAAAAATTCCCAGTTAATTGAGAGGGATTTGGGGCTTGGGCAACCAGGAGTGTGCAAAGCATGAGGCCTTCATTGCCACCAGTTTAAATTCTGCTTTCCTATCACGCCCACGGCACTGTCTCTGGGCAGTGTGCGACCCATCGCTCCCAAAGCAGGAATTTGTTTTCCTTTACCTCTTCACAGGAGCTCAGGGATTTTCAAGGCCATTTGCGCTGCAATGCAGGGAACGTCCAGGGAAGGGAAGAATGGATTTAAGGAACCTCAACCTAATTCGCTTTTGCAAAGATTGCATGGGAGGCGCTCGGTGGCTTTGAAAGCTGTTTTTTGTTTGGAAGGTCAAACAGAATGACCAAAGCTGGACTTACATGTGGTGGAGCGTGCACCAGCCGCAGTGGGGGTCTCCCGAGCTCAGGCACTCCCCGCAGGTCGTGTACTGCTCACAGGACTCCACGGGCACCCGGGACACCTGCAAAGGAAGCAAACGCATGGGCTCAGCACTCCCCGCACCGCGGGCAAGCAAAACGAGAGCAGCTCCGGGTCCTGCTTCGCCAGTTTGAGTCAAGTAACACGACAGCGATTCACAAACTCAAATGAATTTGTTCCAATATCGGCACAGAAGTCAGCCAAGAATAGGAAATATTAGGGAACGAGTCATGAAGTCACTCCGTCCCTCGGGCACAGCCACACCATGAATCACGGGTGCAGAGAGCCCCAGCCCGGAGCCCAGCCAGTCTCCCACCACCGGCGCCAGCTCGCCAGAACCCCCCCGACCCCCCTGCCCAGAGACGCTCCCGCGACGAAAGCCGCGTCCTCTCCTCCCTGATTTACAGTTTGCTATCTTACACTCGCGGCGGGGGAAGCTGCTTCAGGGAGGAAAGCTGGCAGGGAATACAATTCATTGGGATTTTGCAGGTTGGCAGCTTGTTTAGCCTACGTGGGTATTTCATGACTTGCTCCTCCTCGGTCACCCGGAGCCCTCCCAGCACCAGCGTGGACTTGGGCGCCCAGGAGTGACCCCCCCGGGGGCTGCCGGTCCCTCGCAGGCCAGAGATGCCAGAGCAGAGCGAAAGGGAAGCACTCGAGGGAACGCCAGCCCAGATCCACCCCCTCTGCACGCACGGAGGGGCCCTGCGCCAAACTGGGGGGGGGCAGCACGCTCCTGACCCCTTTCTCAGCCCTGAAAACCTCAAAGGCTCCAAAATGACACTGAGCTTTAACCATGAGTCGTCGGTTGACTCCAGCGGAGAAATCCCACTTTAACCTTTCCAGCCTGTCCCTTGGCACCTCCAGCGGGCACGGTACGGTTGCACCTCCCGCCTAGATGCCGCAGCATCCTGCTGGTGCCGGTCCCTCTTCAACACATTTACATTTCTATTATCAAATACTGTAAATAAAGATTGCTGCCCCCCGGCACAGCCACCACCCCGCAGCGCCGGGCGCTCCCCGTGGGCCCCGGGAGCGACGCCTGCAACTGGCTGAAAATTAAAACAACTGTCGGCGTTGCAGTCGCTCTGTCCGTCCAAACAGCGCCCGGCTCCCAGCAGCTGGGGCGCGCGGGGTGAAAGGAGCAGTGTCTCACCAAACAACGGCCACTTTCACGCCAAGTGCTGTTGACACAGTGAGAACCCAGTTCCTCTCTAAACACGACACCAATAGGGCTGCTATTCTTCTCGTTTCCTCAGCCCTACTTAACAGCTTTTCCTAACACAAAAAATCGCGCGTGGACGCGCGGGGCTGGGTGGTTTTTTTTTTTCACTGAGATGAAGCCCGTGGGACTCGCAGGGCTCAGCTTGGGGTGTGCTAAGAGCAAAGCAGCCCTGGAGCTGGAACCGAGGGGTGCGAGAGGCAGAGCCAGGTACGCCGGGCATGCGTTTAGCCTGTGATGCCTGTAAAGACCTTCAGAAAGGGAGAAGAGAAATGCAGCGTGACGGAATAGCAGAGAGGTGTAAAGAAAGGGCTTGGGTTTGTCTCTCGGATGTGGAAGGTGGCCGGGGTGACCTCTCAGGGTCCCGTCTGTGCCTCGGTGGCCACACGCGGCTTTTACCCACTTCGCCCCTTCCCTCTCAGGACCCCAAAGCACTTTACTGGCGTTGCGGTGACGCGGGAGCGAGCCCCCAGCCTGGCAGCAGTCACAGCCCCCCCCCCCGGGGCGGCCCATCCAGCTCTTGGGCAGCACATCCCGGGCACCCACATCCTGCCCATCCCACCCCGCCGCCAGCGACGATCCGGCATTTCCCAGGGCAGACCAGAGATGCAGACACAGCACTGCTCCTGGATGGGAGCCTAAGAGCAAACGGAGGTTTCTCAAACCAAACGAGAGGCCCGTGGAGCCGCGGTGGCTTCTCAGCAGCCCCCCCGGGGGAGTCGCCAGCCGCCGCAGGATGCAGCGAGGGACGTGGCCAGGTTTCCCCTAAAATCTGCCCCGCAGGTTGAGCTGTGTTGGTGGGATGGCTCTCACCCAGCCCGGAGGTCAGGACAGCCCCCAAAATCATCGGGCATTGCTGATCCCCCACCTCTTACCCTCAGCGTGAGGCTTGACAGGATCTGTCCCCATGATTTATATGCAGCTCAGGGCTTGTTTCATGTTTGTGAGGAGCTGGATGCTCTCGTGGCGCTCTATAAATAACGGAGGATTTGAATTATATGAATAACAGTTCATTATGGATGATTTTATGTTAGGCATTTGGGCTCTTTTTCTGCTCAGAAGCTGTGGCTTCTGCACATGGCAATTCTCTAAAAATCACGCAGAAATTTTGAACAATGCCTAGAGTCCCAGGTTTAGAGCCCAAATGGGACCATTTGACCCTTTCTTTGTAATGCCTGCAAATGCAGGGCAGAGAACCTCACCCGTTCCTCTCGGCAGCGTTTGGTGACTGAATCAGAGGTGGCAGAGGCGCGTGGGTGGCACTGCCTGAGCTGGGGTACCCGCCCTGACCAAGCACAGCATTGGGCTCCTTGACCCTGGCTGAAGGAAGTCTAAGACTCAGAGAAGAGTAAACCATCTGCTTTTCTTCAATACTTTTCACCGTTCCCTCCTGTGACTTTGAAATTTACCCTTCATAAAAATTAATGCCAAAAACCCCACATTGCTCCAATACCAAGTAAATGTTTAAATGAAGAAGTTAAAGATTATGAACAGAAGGCATTTAAATATTTGCATGCATGAAAAAGGGTGAGGGGTTTTGCAGTACTTGCTCAGCTCTTGCAGCACTAATGCATCCTCAACCATCCTTACCATCCACAATCCCAATATCAGTAATATTCCAACCATCTAAAGAATATGTTTAATTTTCATGGAAAAACAAGAGAAATACTATTAAGAACAGGATATATCCATATGTTATTCCATACCTATCATGAACACAGAAGCTATATTTGCTTCAGAGACAGTACAGAAGTAAAGCTTGGATGTGCTTATGCTTCCTGATGGCAGGCTGGAAGCACTCTGTTGGCTTTACGTATTTTTAAACTGCTCTCTGCCAGCCTAATTACCATTATGAGAACAAGCACTTGTGCATGTGAACTGGGGAGAGAAGAGAAGGCACACCAGTACCTGTGGGTGGAAGGAAAATCACCACAGATTGGGGTGGGGGACAGCGGAACTTCCCCCCATGCCCCCTTCAGCTATGGACTGCCATCAAAGAAAAGAAAAAAAGAGAGGCGGGAGGCAAAGAAGCAACTGAATAGGAAGGAAAATAGTGAGAAAATGCGACAGAAAAGCAGCGAAAAGGAAAAGCAGAAGGGAAGATAAAAGACAGCAGAGGGACTGCTGGCAGTCTGGCAGGGCAGCGGCAGAGCCCATCGCTGTCACAGGCACGGCCCCCCCGCATCCCGGCCGCCGAGCACCCCGGCAGCACGAGGGGAGCGGATCCTGCCTGGCCGCAAAGGGGGTGTCCAGCGGCCCCCCCCAACCCCTCCGGCACGTCCCTGCCCGCGCCGGCCCCTCAGCTCGGCAGCAACGGCGGGACGAGGCTTCGGAGGATGAGCCTTGGCCGGTTTTACAGCCACAGGTGGCTCAAGCGAGGAATTAAATATTGCAACCGGTAACCGGATAGAGCAGAACCAAGGGAGCCTGGAGCTGTGTGCTGCCCGGCAGCTGCCCACGGCAAGGGCCGAGGGGGAAAGCAGAGATCCTGCCCGCGAGCCGTGCGGTGCCCACGGCTTTCCAAGAGAGCAGGAAAAGAGGGGGCACAGCCGTCAGGTACCTGCTCAGTCACCCCAAACCGTGGCCACCGCTGGGTCCCCCCTTGCTCCGATGGCCGCGGGCGCTCGTGGCACCCCCGTCCTGGCACCCCGATCCCAGCGGGCACCCGCACCTCGCAGCTATGCACAGCCAACGGGACTCCCATCTGTCACAGCCCGGTCTGTTTGCTCTCTCATCCTCGCCAGCCCCTGGGGCAGCTCTGTGTGCAGCAGAATGGTTTATTTGGAAAGGGCTTCGGGTTTCAGTATTTAGTTTTTAAATGCAAATACTTGTCTTTGTTTACATTAGAGAAGATAGGTCAGAGGAATGCTTCTGGCACTCAGAGCAAATATCTGAGAAGGTCTATCACCACTTCAGGAGTGTATTCCCCACCACAGACTAAGCCCTGAGAAAACTGTTGCCTGAACTGATGAACTTACCCGCAGAGCAGGAGCACGAGGTGCTGCGGCACCCAGCGAGCTCCAGCTCTCATCCCGGGGCGCCGGCAGACCCCACCGCGAAGCTCAAGCTCGCAAAAGCAGAGGCAAATTTTGGATGCCTTGAGATTCCTGCTCCTGCCACCAGGAACACGAGGCGAGAGGTCCTGAAGCCAAGCAGAGGCATGCAGGAGTTTTCCAAATGCAGCCTCAAATCCTGCACCCCGTCGCCTGCACGGGGGACTGCTGCTCCCCGGCAGAGCCCGGGGACGCCCGCGAGGCCGCACCCCTGCTGAAGCAGGCAGCAAGTCATTCCGGGGGTCAGATGTGTCACGGCGTGGCAAAGCCATAAAGCAGTTCAGCAGAGCTGAGGAGCACCTGCATGAAGGTCAACGGCCAAGAAACCAACACTCCTAGGGAGGAGTAGGTAGCCCAAGGGCTACTTCTCTTCTGTCCATGCCAAAACTCTGCTGCCGAGTTTTTCAGTTCCTTATTTATCAACCTGCTTCTCAATAATTAAATGATAAAGCCTCATTAATGCTTCCCTTTACTGCCCGACCCATAACATCAGCAAAAAAAAATAAAAATAATATAATCAATACACTCTCCTAAACACATGAACTCAAACTCTGTCAGCCCCCCCGAGGAAATAAAATAAGTGCAAGAATCCACTTCCAAATAAATAAATACATAAAATAAACAAACGAAGCAAGGTTTCCCCAGCTTATGCCTGCTGCCAGCACAGGCCTCTGACCTCCATGGCTGGAGACAGCCCCCGGGGTGTCCCGCTGCCACAGCACACTGCCTGCAGACCCCTCCGGGTGCTGGAGTTCAAACAGAAAATCT